GACATAAAATTGCCGTGATAAATAACTGCACCATTAGGGGATCGATAGCAAACGGTAGAGTTATTTATATTGGATAATCGACAAGATATCCTTATATTATTTCAAATCAGCGAATAAAATAAAGTCGTTTCCACTTTTTACTATAACTGCCTTTGCACTCTTCACTAGCTAATACTCATCCTTCAGCTTAGTATAATATAAAGTACATAACTTTAGCACTATTGTAGCTGCTATACCAAGCAATATTTTCGTAGTTGCGTAATGGAATTCTTCATTATTTCCTAATTCTTCCTCTTTTTCTTCAAAGCTATCCTTGCTGCACGTTACTCGATTTCAGGTAACAAATATAAACTAGTTGGGTTTCATAGTAAGCAGCTATATTGCAATAGAGTTCTATAGTGGATAGCAATATATCCTTCTTACAGGAGTAGACGTACCTCATCATAGACATCAACATTAGTATGGATTCTATTCAGTCTACCTTAGAAGGCAAATCGATATTTTCTACATTTTTGAGAGATTTTGTAGGAGTGGTCCATTTTATTATGCTTTGAACTTTCATCTTTAAATAATTTATAAATAGCGATGAACTCGTATTGAATGTACACTAGCAGTTTCCCAACTATATGTAATTGAAAGCAGATATTACGTCAATAATGTTATCCATGCGGTCAATCTATTATTACCTTCATATTTTCCTATTTATAGTAGCTATGAATGGCAATTCTATGCTAGAAAAACTAGAGCAAGACTGTGATAATAATTTAATCTATTAATTAAGGATTAATTTAAATAATGAGATTATAGTTTGCTATAAATAACGTTATCATGACGTATTATTTTATATGAAAGGTAAATGCACAACCGTATCTAAATCATCAGATAAAGATTTGTTAATAAATTATTAATGACTATTCTATCATGTTTAATCATTATTATTCTCAGGTAGATCATTCCAATTCTCGAATTGACTCTATACTTTCGGCTCTTTTCTCGTAGAATTGTGTAAACTAATTTGTGATATGGTCTAGTGGAGGCGTTTCTAGTGCTGAAATTATCTATTGTACCTGACAATTATGACTTCGATTTTAAATACTTTGAGATAGCACAACGGAATCTTTGTTGCTATTATAATACGCTGAGATAGCCATCTAAATTAATTTAATTTGTTGTTCCGCTTTAATTAATTATTTAATAATACAACTAGCGAACTCCCCTACATCCAACTACTTATTGTTACTGGATTACTTTATTGCATGTACATATTTGCATACTCTATGTCATGATTGCTAAGGACGTTGATTGCTATACAGTTCTTTTTGGTATCCAACACTACCGAATCCAAAGACTATTTAACCAAACTGTATTCGAATTATACCCTTAAAATAAATTTCTGCATTACCTTTGTGTAGTTGAGCTACTTCTATGCGTAATAAAAAAATTATTATATAGAAATTGAGCGCAGGACGTTGCGTCCAAAATGTAGACATTTCAAATGTAAATATTATTACCGTTGCATTATATATTGTTTATATCGATATTACTTTACCTATTAAGATATGACGTGGTAATTAATGTTTATGACCCATTTAAGGAAAAAATTCCTAAAATAAATTGATAGTCTACATTTACATAGTTATTTACAAAGAGTAATAACACTCCCCCTTATGCTATCTACTGTACGATTTATCCATATTGCAAATATAAAATATAGGTTTATCAATGAGTAAAAATTAGATCAATCATGCGGAATTTCATCATACATTTGCATTAATATACGAAAATTAGATATGTTTTGATCCTTTTAAGTCATCATATACCATTATTATAGAGCAATTCTATATTTATTCATATAAACCTATCCGATTAAAGTTGATTGAATTATCAGTATTAAAGCCAATGGAATTTGTATAGCAACCCTACTGAGAATATACTTATGGTTGCTGAAGACTTTCTTTTAGATAATCATGATGTGTGTCTTCCATGAACCTCCAAAGATAGGCTAAAAAATTTACTAAAGTTAAAAGCGAATGTAGCGTTCTGATTTAGGTTTTTGTAATGTCTATTGCCACCATTAAAACCATTAAATGGTTGAAAATTTATATATTATCTGCAAGAGTTTTAATCAAATTATCAAAATGGAATTAGTATTTTTGATAAGTTACTCCCTACTGTATAACACTACAAACACATGGTTTCTTATATTGCCTATACAGAAAAACATTGTATTTACTAATTGCATCATATTGCATTAATTGTCTTACAGTGATGATAAATTAGCAGTTAACGAAAAATAAAATACATTAGCATTAATGGATTGATCAGAATTCAATAAGTATACACTGTACGTTGTAGACCTGCAATGCTTGCGGTACAGTAATAGAAACTGTACTTGAATAAAAGCATAGTGTAAAATCCCACATAATACAGTATATACCGCATTGTTGCAATAAATGAGATTAGTAATGATTTTAATATTATTTTCACGAAGTGCAGTAGCATTGAATGCTCTTCTTTATTATATAGGCAAATATAATGCTTTGGCAGAGGAATAATACTTTAAATTATGATGATTTAAATCTATTTTCTTGTATATTTTCAAATTTTTACTAATGATAATCTATCCAAAAATTAATAATTCTAATCTATTTGTGATGATATCAAAATTGGATATCACCTGATGGGATTTATAGTTTTTTGCTAATCATTAATTATGGTTTGCATGCCATAATAAAATTTCCTTCTCTATTTTACTTTAACATTTAACCCTTATAGAAATATCAAAAGCACATTAGTTCGTTGAAGTAATTGTTATACTGTAATCAGGCTACTGTATAATATTATTAGAAGATTTCGTTTCTTGTCATTTCAGTTGGCAAGCAATCTGTATATAAATCTGATTTTAATCTCAAGATAGTAAGTAGCGCTCAGTATTTATCCTCATGATTTACAGTGCAAACATACTGATAGAGTTTGCCGTAGGATCTCCCAAAGTGCGTCAGCTATAGTACATTATTTTCAATTATAGTATTGATTTGCTTGATCGGCTATTGCTACTGTAGATTAAGCATCGAAATCATAAAGTAATTCTCACTGCTAGTTTGAATATTAATTAAAGGGGATTAGTTAAGAATTCGAGAGGGATAAAGAAATAAAAAAGCATTAGGTGTAATAGAAATTTGAAAGCGGAGACATTTATCTATGTTTAAGTTACAACGATATTTTTAAATAAAATTTCAATGTTAGACTCCTTACTACAATCGATATGTGAAATTTGAAATATTGCCGATGAAAGCATTGTCATTGAACTGTAAGCAATTGCGCCTTTCATAGTAACATATCTTACAGTAAATTTTAATGGTGTTAATTAATTTGTAGCATTTAAGAAAATTGGCTTAACGCATCGCGAATATGTCTACAGTGCGATATTTTTCAGCAGTATTTTGGATTGATTATGATTAATATGCAATGGCATACGCAATGCTGTAGAACCAACAAGAAATTAGAGTTAGCAAGCGACTCTAATTTGTTATAGGATTTACAGTATTGCGCAAATCACTACCTGGCTGCTAAGATGGCTTTTCTACAGGGCAGATTAGTAGATCTTGGCCTGTTCTGTTACGTCTAGCAAGCGAAAGTGCATTATTACAGTCATAAAGGGCACCAAATCGATTACATTCAAATCGTCTTGACGATGCTGTATTGTCAATATTAATTTGTCATCGGATGGTTGATAGTTTCGACTACTGTAGTTTAATTACGGACGATAATTTAACGTTCAAAATTTATATTCAGCATCGTCCTGTTTACATAGTATTATAATAATGAACAATTCATGATAGGGTCAGGCACATTTCTCTACCTTGACATGGCTGATAAATTGCATTTTTGGAGTTTAGGAAAGAAGAGTATGCATGCAAATTGTAACTGAATGGAAATTATCTGCCTTTTACGGGTAGTTTCTTTTTATTATGACTTATAGATAATGATTTAAGCTTGATTAAATGAATGTGCTTTTAATGGTGAAATATCTTTCTCTACCTTGATATGGCTGATAGATTGCATTTTTAGAGCTTAGGAAAGAGAAGTATGCAGCATGCAAATTGTAACTGAACGGAAATTATCAGCTTTTTACGGGTATTTTCTCTTCATTATGACTTATAGATAATGATTTTGGCTTGATTGAATAAATGTGCTTTTAATGGTAAAATATCTTATTTTGCATATCCATCTTAATCTCCATCGCTGAAGCAGAATCTGTTACATTGAACTTGTATCCAATCTTTATTAAAGTTATACATGTCCCGGAGAAATAACATTACTAAATAGCGTATACGAATATCAAAAACGCTCATTATGGGTCGACTAATAAGTGTATCGAGAAATTCAGCTTGGATGCACTTGTTTGATTTTCGATAACTCTCCATCTGATATCAATGAGCTACCGCTCTACAGTAAAATGATGACCGTAATTATGAAATCATATTGGATCGCTGGTGGATTCTTTTGACTGCTATATATGGGTTTGATTAATTTTATTTGGATGACACTTGAGACAGCAAAGTTACTATTTAAAACCAATTTGATTTTGATAAGCTAGATTTAGATGTATACACTTACTGATGGTAACATATACGTTTTATGTTGCGTGTACATATCTACGTCTAAAAAGGTAGGGAAAATATAGAAATGGTAAGGCTACAAAAGTTCACAACTTATCTACTTTACAATCAGAATAAAAAGGGTACTTGCACAATTTAAAATTCAATAGAAAGGTAACTTATTCCTTAGCCTAAGATAAGCAATTTATAGATACCAGCTCGTATAATTGCATGGTAATTGGATTAAAAATTGCAATGTCTAAAAGGTATGGTAACAGGGTCAAGATTGCGGTCATTTAATAACGAATTAATACTTAATCTAGAAAGATAATTTTAATTAATGCTAATCATCTAGTTAAGGGCATAGAAGAAAATACAATCTTAACTTTACGTATCGTGTTATAATGATAGTTTTAAGAGTTTGTCGGCAGCTTCACCCAGATCGCTTTCACGTAGAGCCTTCTCTAGCTTGGATTTAGTAAAGGAAGATCCATGTTTCCTTTGGTAATCATAAAGCATTGCAGCACATTGCTCATTAGAGTCGTTTTGAGTGTCGACTTTGAATCTCTTGATATCATTCTGGCTATAATCTAATTCCAAAGCAAGTTTTGGCCAGTCTACACCGATGTCTCTATATATCTTTTTTATGTAAGGCTTAGCGGCTATAATTTGAGAAAGATATGATTAACATGACGAGATCAGAAAGCAATCAGGCCAGTAATACAAGCCCACATGCATGCAAAGTAATTTGTTACTGAAATAATTGATTTACAAATATAAATTTGTTCTAAATATTTTCCATCTACTTTTACTAGTTTTATGAATGGATAAAGCAGATAGCAAGGGTCTTGTAGAAATACTTGAGGTTTCCTATGTCAATCGAATTATATCTTTACACAGTTAGCTATAGTTCGATGATGTCTATTTTAGTATCGTCATGCATGCAATTAATTGGTATGGACAAGACATTTATAGGATGAATTTGGGCTACAGTCGGCACTATCAAGGGCTTACAATCCCGTTAAATGAGAATTTTTACAAAAATTGCCATTGAGTAGTGATTGTTATATCATTTCGTATCAGTTATGTGTATAGCATGAAGACAGATTGCCTGAATGCTCTTTATGGCTTAACCATGCCAAGAAGAGATCATGGCAGACATACTGTGTACTTTTAATTTAGGCAGAGGATAGAGTCGATATTGTATAAAGTAATGAGCAAAGCTTCATCAGCAAATGATGAGATTAAAGCACGTAGAGAATGGTTGTTAGACTTGATCGTCCTGAGCTAGAGTGGATATCACTTCGACGTGTTCTATTATTTTCACGGAATTAAGAGAGAACAGTATAAGCAGCAAGCTAAAGACATTTTTCTATCCAATTTTTTGAAAGAATACGCGTAGCTATGAAACTGTCTAGTTGAACTTTTCTGGTACAACATGGAGGTGTACAAGTTGATTCTTAAACTGTGTCATCTGAGCAAAGTCAATATTACTTGTTCATTACGTTGTAATTTAGTTTCCTATCTAGGAGTAATAACATCGCCGATAGCTTCTACTACACGGTTACTCTTTATTACGAAACATGTGGAAAGATTACAGTAGAAAGCAAATGATCAACAACGCTTTGTAAAAGCGCGCTAGAGTCAATATTGCATTACTTGCTGACTACGTCGTAATTTAGTTTCCTATCTAAGGGTAATAGTATCGCGGATAGCTTCTGCTACACGGTTACTCTTCATTACGAAACATGTAGAAAGACTACAGTAGAAAGCAAATGATCAATAACACTGTCTAAAAGCAATGTCTGGATATGATTTACTGCGGATATTGTTTCTAGATAGCTTTAAGAAGGAAGAATTTGGAGTTGATGTTGATCGTTGAATTGTATTCATTTTGCTATGCAGGAAGTGAGGGCGATTTTCTTGGCTAGGAAATGATAATTTTATTTGAGTAAGGTTTTTACTTTCTAATCACGGACTATTGGTAGAGATCAAACTCATGGTATCATCGCAGTAACATGACAAGATGATGGTCATACAACTCTTGAATTTGTCTGCAACTTTGCTGGATTGACTACCTTGCTCAATTTTCTATCCAGTAGTTGTAGATTGATGAGTCGCTATTTCTAGATCAATTACGTAAGTATATAAACGATGGCGACTTTGCAGTTATAGTAACACTTTGAAAATAATACTGATGTGTTTTCTACCCATAGGACAGTAAGGATGATGATGAAACTTGCTATCGTTGGATTTGATAAGCCTATGTAGTTTGTATTTGAATGGAGAGGTGTTTAATATTATAAACTATGACGATTTTGCCGTTATAGTAACACTTTGAAGATAGTACTGATGTGTTTTCTACCTATAGGACAGTAGGAATGATGATGAAACTTGCTATCGTTGGATTTGATAAGCCTATGTAGTTTGTATTTGAATAGAGAGGTGTTCAATATTGTGTTAGATGATTGTGTCAATACGAGGTGTTGGATATGTAGAGCAGTTACATTCTTTCCACTAATGACTAACATTATTCAAGAATCCAGTATGATGATGATGTCATGTACCCTTAACACTGTATCCGTGTGGAAAGATCAACAAAATGGCGTTGGGAAAAATAGAGAAAGGTCTTTGACTGACAATGAGGAAATACAACGAAAGGGCTAAACTCCAGTCAGCCATGGTGAATGGATGACACATTCTATTCTAGCTTATATAAGCGGTTATCATGTCAACAATTTCATTTATTATTGAACGTAGTCAAGTGGTGCAGGTGAAGAAATTACAAGAAATTTGGACTTACGTTCGTCAAGATCAACAGCGGGTTGCCTATTGGAGTTTTCGTATGTAATGTGGTTAAGATCTGTGCCAGGCCTGGCAAGTTTTGCTTTTTCATCTTGGATTTTTCGCAATAGATCTGCCCCTTGTTGTGATTGAACACTTCTTACGTTGCTGTAGAGTTTACAAAATAACACGAAGGTGCCTGAAGGTTTTTTGCGCAATTTATCGAGTAAGGATTTATTTCGCTTGATTGGATGGCTGATGGTGTCCAATTCCGCGCTCTCGTAATCATCGATAATTTTATTGGCTTTAATTTCACCAATAAGGGAATCATAAGGTAAATCTTTACTTATATTAACGTAATTGGAGGTTAAGACGCTTTCTTCAGCTTCGGATAACATCTTGATTAGCTGATCGGTAGATATTAGCAATTCGACAAGATGGCGGAGCTGCAGTCGGCTACTGCTGTACAGTGTACAGTATGGTAGCCTACAGCGCATACTCTGCCTTTTACTACTTCCGTATTCTACACAGTGTGCCCATACACAAGCTCGATAGCGATGCAAGAAATGCTTAAACTAGACCATCTAATCCATATTCTAGACAGTGGTATACATTCTGGAGCTCCATGGCTATAGAAGAAATGCTAGAACTAGACCAACTCGTCCATATTCTAGACAGTAGAGGCCATGCAGAAGCTCGATTGCTACGCAAGAAATGCCAAAACTAGACCAACTCGTCCATACTCTAGACAGTAGTGGCCATGCAGAAGCTCCATAGCTATGGAAGAAATGCTAAAACTAGATCATCTCGTCCTATACTAGACAATGGTATACATCCAGTAGCTCCATGGCCATAAAGAAACGCTAAAACTGGACCATCTCGTCCATATTCTAGACAGTAGAGGCCATGTAGAAGCTCGATTGCTACGCAAGAAATGCCAAAACTAGACCAACTCGTCCATATTCTAGACAATAGAGGCCATGCAGAAGCTCGATTGCTACGCAAGAAATGCCAAAACTAGACCAACTCGTCCATACTCTAGACAGTAGTGGCCATGCAGAAGCTCCATAGCTATGGAAGAAATGCTAAAACTAGATCATCTCGTCCTATTCTAGACAATGGTATACATCCAGTAGCTCCATGGCCATAAAGAAACGCTAAAACTGGACCATCACGTCCATATTCTAGACAGTAGAGGCCATGCAGAAGCTCGATTGCTACGCAAGAAATGCCAAAACTAGACCAACTCGTCCATATTCTAGACAATAGAGGCCATGCAGAAGCTCGATAGTTATGAAAGAAATGCTAAAACTAGACCATCTCGTCCTATACTAGACAGTGGTATACATTCTGGAGCTCCATGGTTATAGAAGAAATGCTATAACTAGACCATCTCGTCCATATTCTAGACAGTAGTGGCTATGCAGAAGCTCGATAGTTATGGAAGAAATGCTAAAACTAGACCAACTCGTCCATATTCTAGACAGGGTCTAGAATATGGCTAGACAGTAGTGGCCATACAGTCTATTCTAGTCTATTCTAGACAGTAGTGGCCATACAGAAGCTCGATAGCTGTGGAAGAAACGCTTAAACTAGACCATCTCGTCTATATTCTAGACAGTAGTAAACCTTCAGTAGCTCGATAGCTATGGAAGAAATGCTTAAACCATCTCGTCCATGTACACTGTAAAATGGACAGTAGCGCAAATGCAGTAGCTCCATAGCTACGCAGGAAATGCTTCCTTTAAACCATCTCGTCCGTACGGGACTTGAGCAACAACAGTTGAATCTTCTACAAGGGAACTGTTGTGATACTGAAAGTAAACAGTCTCGTCCATAGTGTTTGATCGCTGTAGAGAAATCTCGAGGGAGAAAGGATAGACTCTCCTAACTTGAACTTGAGGTTCATTTTAGCAACAGCAGTTGCAGAGTGTCCAAGCGAGTTGTTATCATACTTGCATGAACAATCTTCATATTACACGATTGGATTGCAAGAGGAGAAAGCTTGAGCTGAAAGTCCTCGACTTTACATTGTCATGAACGCTAAGAAATAAAACAACAGCATCGGATTACGAGTATATACGATATCATAAAAAGAGAACAACTAAGAAACTATGGAGAAGGAAATGGATTACTTGACGTACTACGACTATGATTGCCTTGAGTTTGAGACTTCAGCAACAGCAATCGGATGTTATGCAAGAGAACTGTTGAGATGCTAGGAGTAGACAATCTCGTCCATAGTATTTGGCTGCATCAGGGAAATTTTGAGGGAGAACGGGTGAATTCTGACTCTCCTACTATGAATTTGAGGTCTATTTCAGCAACAGTAGTTGAATATTGTCCAAGTGAGCGGTTGTCATGTTGAGATTTGACAATCCTCCACAATACACGTCTACTGTACTGTTAGCTTGCATGAAGAGAAACCTTGAGCAGAAAATCGTACACTCTGCATTGCCATGACTCCCCCCCCCCCCCCCCCCCCCCAAAAAAACAACAGTATCGGTTTACCAGCATAGATGATATCATAAAGTGAGAAAAACGATGTTGTAGATATTGCATTTCGCAAAAATTGTCCAGGTCGAGCTGGATTGAATGATCTGATTCGACAAGTTGGACAAGACGAAGACGATAGTCATGGACGCCATGTATGAAATAGGGATTATCTGACTGCAGTAAATTTGCATGAAATTTTAGTCATCAGTAGCTGAATCGATGCACTCGGAGCCAGCATTCATGGCGACTAAATCTTGGCTAACATTAAGTAGTGATGATTCTACAACGACATTAGCAAGGACCGGTGAGAAAGAGAGAGAGGAAAAAATAAATCCAAAATAAATTCTCTTCCTAAATGCCCTACTTTAAGAAGTACTTCTCAAAACAGACTGTAGATGCCAGTCAAATCAATAGTTTCCAAGTTGGGATTCTTGTTAGTGACATTAGTTGTACTCGGCTAATAGACTGCAAACCAACTACTGTGGATTACTGATGACATTAGAACGGCATCGATGTTAATATAAGAGCCAGCAATCAATGCACTCGGTCGCCATATCTACTCGCGCTTTCTATCAACATTTTGATCTTCAATGAGATCCAGCTAAGTTAGTTTATTCTACGACTCTCTAAGCCTCACTATGTTAACCCAAGCTGAAGAATTTGTCTTATCAAACAATTGGACTGTATTGGAGACAGATTTCCCCTATGATAAACTCTTTCCATTGCTTGTTTCTAATCATATTCTTGATGTCTATGATCAGTCAAAGTTGCAATCGCTGCAGGATCATATTATTAGAAATAGAACTTTACTTCAATTATTGCAGGAGAAACCTGTAGGTACATTTCAAAAAATTTGCCACCTTTATAGCCAACTCAGTTCTGTTCAAGCAGAAATAGGTTATCAATTACTCCAAGCTATACAGGACTATTCGAAAGATGAAGTCGATGGAAAGTGTCCCATTCTTGATCCAGAGCAAAGTAGGTCATGACCGAATTGGTGGTAATGATTTTACATTCATATTATCCCATTTGTAACCTAACTTGGTGACCATTGCCCCTCAGTTACTTCGTCATAGCCAGTAGTTTCTATCCTACGAGTAATGCTTGAGGCGGTATCCGTTTTCATCGACAGCTATTACTAGTCGAAATTGGACCAACAACAGTACTTATTTTATCTCAGGGAGAGAAGATGTCTTGTCCAAGTGTAAATGGTCTACAAGAATATTCAACAATCCTGCTGGTATCACACTTGGGTAGCTAGCCATTGCTCATCAGTGAATTAACCATGACAAAAAGTTGACTTTCTACTAGCAATAGTTTAAGCAGTATCGGTTTTCATCGACAGTTACATCTAGGCAAAATAGAAACATTGACAGAACTTATACTGAGGAAGGCATATTCTACTCAAGTGTACATTGGTTAAACTGTTATAACATCCCATCATTATCGTCGACGCACTATCACACCTTTCTAGCCATTGCTCATGAGTAATCCGTCATGATGACATGCTATTCCTTCGTTTTATTAGTTTCACTTGTTAGGATAGTATAAATGCCATCGATCCACATCCATACACGCCAAAATTGCATCACTGACAGTACTTTATTCCTGGGTGTTGGTTTCACTTTAGACAGTATCAAATTCATCGACATAGAAATACAGGCCAAGAATGCATCATACAGTAGATGATGCTTTATTTCTAGGTGTTAGTTCTACTTCACTTTAGGCAGCATCAATTTCATCGATATACGAGTGTACTGTACATACAAGCCATCAATGCATCATCAACAGTACTTTATTCCTAGGAAAGGATGTCTTATCGAAGTGCAAATAGGCGTCCATTTTTTTCTTTACTACAATCCCAATATCGTCATCACGGTTGCATCACATTATTTGCGGACATTGCTTAGCATTGATTAAACATCTTGGCCAGCAGCTTTCATTCTACTAGTTATGTTATAGGAGTTACAAATCTTCATCAACCCGTATTTGAGGGTAAAATTAGATTATTTACAAACCACTTACAGAATTGTACCCTCCGGAAAGAAGAGTGTCCAAATGCAAACTAGCTTAGTTGTTTAAAATAAAACCATCATCGTATTTGCATCTTACCCTTTACACGCATTGATCATACTCGTAAGTAGTTATTTACGATGACGTAGCCATGTTTTCATCCTGCTACTAATGTTTCAAGATTCGCAGCAACGGCATAACAAATAGTAAACAGATATCTTCTGTTCATGTACCTCCAACTTAGAAGATCATACCTCCTGATCCGCCATAGATAACTTTCTTGCTTTGTTCGTCAACCATAAAAAGTTTGCTGACAAGACTGTCTCTAAATCATAGCAATTGAAAACCTCTTTTACTTTTCTGGATTTCGATTACACTCTAGCTATCATTTCTACCACAAGACACCAAATTGGGTGGTAGCAAGTTTAGATTAGCCTTGTTATAATACTAAGCAATAATTTAGAATTAGTCCGGTTCTTTATTGTGGCGCCTGGTTAATTATATAATATGTTATATACATTCCATACATGCAGTACATAGTTTCTCTATGGAATCGAACGGTTTACACCACTTTTTGAATATAACGCCCTTCTATCGTTGCTATTCTATTTCATTACTAAATTTATTCTAAATTTGCCCTTACATTATGTAAAGGCTGACTATTACTGAAGCTTAAATACTATTTGACTTTTTCCTCTTGCAACTGATTGTCTTTCTTTTTTGTCCAAGGCGCCAAACCTTACTTGGATTTAATCTTTCAAACTAACATCCCGAATGACGTCAAAGTAGTCAATTTAAAAAAGTTTTACGAAGGCCTCCATCTGAAGCAGTTTAAGGTCAAAACAATCGTGTCCAAGAGTGATCTAACGATAGAAGGTAAACTAAAAGAGTTATTCAAAATTTGGTGCAACGAAAAACAAACTGAAGCAACCAAAGGAGTTTTTGTTCAGGCTTTGTACGATGCTGGATTAGATGAAGCAGCTAAATTGGTATCCATATCCAAGAGGTAGATATCATTGCAATACATGCCTGCAGCTACAACTAATCTGGATATCATTTGAATATCATCTCTGTAAAAAAAGTAGACGCAGATCTTGGTTGAATACCGTTATAAATGGTTGAAATACTACTGTATACGAATTGCCTGTAGGTACTGAATTCCTGGCAAGATAATTGCATTTGGAACGTCTTGTAAAATTTACTAATGAGTGATTTTATCTTAATGTCAACGGTGCATACTACGCGGGTTATAGAAATATACATGTGCTTATTGTATGATACATACTCCAATTAGGAAATAGAAACAGTATTTGTCTTATTACTTTATGGAAGAACAATGTTTCACAATCAAAGATACTGATGGTGCAAGTCGAAAGTGCTTTAAGTTCGCCAACTACTTGTATGAGTCAGGATTCTACTTGAATATCCAACAAGCTCTGATGCACTATGATCTGTGTGATTTGATATCATTAATTAGTGGCTTCATTTTTCTACTTTTTACCTTGTTATTGATACATACAATACTGCATTTTGGAGCAAATTTTAGGTATTTCGTCTAGACTTTGAGATATTATAGTAGCAATCAACTATGGTATGTGGTTTACAGACCATCAGTAATCTTATGTAGACTATGGCTACAACAAGGGCCATTCATAATGAAGGTAGTTAGTTATCTTTCGCAATTCCTACAATTTAATCTTTGCCTAGCCTGCTTATAATGGCGGTACTACTGTATAAGACTGTATAATTCATTTTATGATTTCCATTACAAAGATTATCAACTACCTTTAGGGTGCAGAAAATAAACTTTATATGTATGATTGATTTGATAACATCTATGATGATCAATACTATTCTAACCATGTTATGTTGCCGCTGTAGCTCGCATAGCAACCAGGCGACCAATTAATTATAATTATATTTGTAAAATACAAGATAAAAATATATTTTATGTGTGTTCGTACATGCAACGGCATTATTAATGCGCCAGATCAAAATAATTGATATAATTACTGCACTGTTCGCTTATAGCAGCTAAAAGTAGAATGCAATACAGTCCGTACAAATCAGATTGTCTCATGTGCGTCATGTTCAGTTAATTTATTTAATAAACTATTGTCACATAATTCTATTCTTAAAAATACTCTATGATTGTTTTCATAGTAGGTATTGCAGGTATTGGGCAGTTCTTCTTCAGCCGCTAACAAATGATATTCCAAGATGGTTTTTACATGGCGCTATTTAATTCATTGCAAGCACTAAAAGTCTATATTAACAGACAGGGTCAATTTTATAACCATAATCAGATTTTTTTGTTGGAAATGCATTATTGAAAGAATTGCAGGCTAGCTATTGAATAATTTTATTTTAAAATTTTTTTGTTGCGTACAATTCGAGTAGAAGCTTCCATAAAAATTGGGTAATTTTAATTGATGTGTTAAGTTTAGTCGAGTAATCAGTTTCTTCATTCATAAATATCCATCTATCAATGCACGAATTAAGACTTTATCCACGTGCTTAATTTATGATCCTTACTATTCAGTAAGAAAGGGAATCTCCATCCATTGTCAAATATAATTAAACAATGCTCACTGATGTGTTCATTGGCAAATGATGGAAATATTCAAGGTTTGAGTAGGCCAATGCCTTAATCGATAAATAATCTATAAACGCAACAATTCAATAAAACTATGATTCGTCGTAAAGTTCAATTCTCATCAATACTCGACAAGATTACGACATTATCATCAATGTATTAAAATACAATTTTACTTAAATTAAAAAATGTAATTAAATTTTCACTTGAAAAGTGGCTATAGAGCAAGAAGGGTTGATAATTTATTTGTGCATCTATCTTCACAGTAAAACTGATACATTAAACAGATAGGTTTGTCTTTGCAAACAGCAACGACTTCTTGGGAGATTTAGCCTTGGTACTATTAGCCACCTTGCGATTTCGATTTTTCTTTTTCTTATTTTGACACCATGGTGTGACTGCTAAATTGCATTCCAGTTGTACATTATAAACTCTACACTTAGCGCTGTCAACTGTTAATTGGTGCTGTGATACTAACCGATATCGAAGTGTACTTAAACCGGTAACACGATCGCGTTGATATTTGGCCTATTTAGGAGATACGAAATAGAGTCAGTTTAAGAGAGGGGATCATCATTAACATCGGAAATAGACTGCATCATAGAATATTTAGTACTTGTCGTTGATTGTAAAATTCTTTCATATCGCGAGGCCGCCTGTTATTGTCATGGATATGGCGAAATGCGCTATTTTTATTCTTGATATTATACGCTCTGTGGATCTATATGATAAGTGTTAAGAAGAGTTTGTTAATAGTAAGTTAAAGGCTGTTTCAATAAGGTACGAATGACAAGCTTGAAGGCCTTTCCCAACGTGGTAAAGAGTCGATTAATGGTAGTGAAATCTTGTTGTACTTTGTAATAACTTACATGAGCTGTATAAAATTGTGGGATATTATTGTTAAAGTACAGTAAGTGACTATCAAAGATTGAGCAATCTATTCCAGGTAAATTTAATTCTGCAGGATGGATAAGATTAGAATATAGCCAAAGGCCTATTCTTATGTAATAGCGAATGTTACAAGCACTCGGGTACTAATAAAACGTAAGATCTATCTTTATATGTCATGCTTGACTCGATGTTTATAGAATCTGATTGAAGAATATGACATTATCATTATTTTAATTGAGACAATTCGCAGTGTCATCATGATTAAACAAGCAATTTAAACATGGCAAGATTGACTATTTTATTCACCAAGATTTGCTTTGGCAATTGCAAAAATATGATCGGAAGGTAATGACTGGACAAGAACTATTGTAGAAACACGAATAATTAATACGCGTATTGGTCCAACTATTAACGTTAAAAGTCTATTACGCTGTCTGATTCTGCGAGTCGTTGTATGCCAATACGTTGCAGTTAGCGACATTAACAAGGTACGTTTACCATAGCAAAAGAAATGTGGAACAACTAGTTTAGTGTGTATTCATAACATCAGAATGAAAGGTAGATTACTCTTTACAGTACCGTTAATCCTGCTTCAATCAGTCGTAATCGAAATTCATCGTCTTCTCTACCCCATCCCCAAAAGTTATTCGACATACCATTGACCTAAGCGGTTAAAATGAAAAGCAAAGGATCCATATCAATACAGTGTACAGAGTGATTAGTGCAAGGGATTCAATCATTAGGGTAATGTTGATATAAAAACATGAAAATGAATGAGAAATGAGTCGAATTTCAAATTGAACTCGCCTGTAGATAATGCTCTTTAGTTAATGCAAGTATACCTCCAAGGTAAGACGAAAATTTATATATGGGATGCAAATCAGGTGACGAGATATGATATGGGCCATCTTCAGGATAGGCATAATTTAACTGGTAGGACATAGGTAATAAATCGACATCATGAAGGATAATATAATCAAAGTCGGATTTGATGTTGGTCAAATGGAAGCCCACATTGAGTAGTGCAGCACGATTGAATCTGTGAGAAAAAAACAGCAGCAGTGAATGGCCGTTGAAAACAGCGATGGTTGTCAATCCAGCTAGTACTGAACAAACTAGGTATGCTATGATGATAAAAGGATACATTGGTACTGTATAAAGAATGGGCATTGATTTAAATGAATGACTAGTGCGGTCGGACCATTTCCTTCCATCCTACATTTCTTACCTCCATTGGTCCACTTGGTTGACAACAATAATTTCAAAATTAATACGACTTGACTGCAAATAACGAGATAAATGAGGCACCATGACCATTAATTCATCGAAACGATCACGAAATGGAATGACTACAGCCAATTTATGCTTTGTTTTGGTACTATTGAAATGATGATAAATGGCTAAAGCAACGATGATATTGAAAGCAATCAAGGCAAGGATCAATTTGCTCTTCTTTCTCATACGAATCCGTTGTTTTCTTCCAATCAAGCAGTCGATGACGGCTATACCAATGCACATCTTGAGCGGTATAAAGTTAAGGTAGTAAAAAATCAAATACGATCAGTATAATGCTCGTCATAATCTACATTTTCATTTGTTAGCCAGAGTCCATTGGACAGGATACATCTGGGTTTGCCAAAACTGAAAATTGGCCTCTGTGCAAGTCTTCGTCACCATGGTTGCTAGCAGGTGAATGAATGGCTGGTCCCACGTCGAACTCAACTGGTACTCAGAAGTACAGGACTGGACCATTGTTGCAGGTTATGTTAATACGTACAGTATGGGTGCTGCATGACTGTATTGTACAGTAGTGTCTTATACGATTGGCTTTAGCATGCTTGGCTTCATGGACGACCAGCCTCCCTCGAATCGGCTGGATGCATTCAAAGATGGACCAATATCATGTCATGGCCTACTCGATATAGTATGCTTATGTTGCATACAAAGTAGTCAGGGATTTGGAACAGTCTCTAGTACTGCCACTGCATGTATCGGGCAATCCATGCTTTGATGAATGGTAATCCTACTGGGATATTGATATTTCAGCAGCTGATATTGTGCTAGACTGCTCTTATATATTGCTGGGATATTGATATTTCAGCAGTTGATATTGTGCTAGACTGCTCTTATATATTGCATACGAGTAGTCAGGGATTTGGAACAGTCTCTAGTACTGCCACTGCATGTATCGGACTATCCATGCTGTGATGAATGGTAATCCTACTGGGATATTGATATTTCAGCTGTTGATATTGTGCTAGACTGCTCTTATATATTGCATACGAGTAGTCAAGGATTTGGAACAGTCTCTAGTACTGTCACTGCATGTATCAGACAATCCATGCTTTGATAGATAGTAATCCTACTGGGATATTGATATTTCAGCTGTTGATATTATGCTAGACTGCTGTTACATATTGCATACGAGTAGTCAGGGATTTGGAACAGTCTCTAGTACTGCCACTGCATGTATCGGACAATCCATGCTTTGATGAATGGTAATCCTACTGGGATATTAATATTTCAGCTGTTGATATTGTGCTAGACTGCTGTTATATATTGCATACGAGTAGTCAGGGATTTGGAACAGTCTCTAGTACTGTCACTGCATGTATCAGACAATCCATGCTTTGATGAATGGTAATCCTACTGGGATATTGAAATTTCAGCTGTTGATATTATGCTAGACTGCTCGTAGTATACTTATGTATTGCATACGAGTAGTCAAGGATTTGGAACAGTCTCTAGTACTGCCACTGCATGTATCAGACAATCCATGCTTTGATAGATAGTAATCCTACTAGGATATTGATATTTCAGGTGTTAATATTGTGCTAGACTGTTCGTAGGGATACACATAGTACCCCTGTTGATGGTTCACTTCGAGACCAGTAACCTAGTATTGACTGAAGGCATGCATAAAAGTAGGTTACGATATTTGCTTTGCAAGTAAATAGCACTAGGATTGTAGTTCTACTAAGCTATTTGTCATATTGATACTCTATTAGGCTGTTAGAATGATTGGCAGTATGGAATGAGAGCAGAAATAACACGCTTTGCAGACCCCTGAATCCAATTTTTGGGGACTTCTGGACGATAGGCATCTTGTTATGATACTAATGTAACTGTCCGAGTTAGTAATCACTGTAAATGTGCATAATATACTATCCACTAATTCTGATATTTTGAGTGCTGAGATATTATTTCTTACGAATCTGCTGATAGCAATATACTGTAGTAATAGTACGGTACACTTATCAAGTTATTCATGACTATTGCGTTGCAGGAACTCGAGAATCTGACAGTAAGTTTTAGCTAATCTTTTCTAAATTTTGTGTAGAAAGATTGCAAAAACTTTCCAATTTTGTATCAACTTTGCAAACTGGCGATTGCTTTCATCTTAGTTTGAGTTATGGAAAGTTCCAGATTCCAGGTTGGAGCTGCTAATGTCGTCCTAGCGTGGCACTCCAGCAATACAGAACAGTTGACGCGTAGACTGCTTACAATCGTACTCGTCCATTTCCAGTTCAAATAAACAGGCACATATTCTACGCATAGTAATCCATTAAAAGAAAATTCACAGCTACATTACTTCTTACTGACTACTACCTATCAACCTTCCTAATCGAGTGTCTACTAAAATCAAGAAAGAGAGCAAAGTAGAACCTGTCGTGGTCCTTGTGCTAACAACAGACTGTCCGTCCAATGTCCGCTTCACAGTGTACAGTACGTACTGTGTACAATCTCACGACACAGTACTGTACTGTACACTGTACTGTGTTGTAGACTATAGACTGCGGTAAAGTGCACAGAAGTCCGACGGACAACCACGGTCGAGGTCATTTTGCAGATATCGTACGCAATCAGGACTGTTTTCCCCTACTGTAGCCTAGTCAAATTTGGAGAAAAGAGTGATGAAACAGCTAGCGGATTAGTCTTGCAGTATTGCGCAGAATCCATTGGCATCATCGTCTTCAGCTTATTGACGGTCAGTTGGATTGTTTGCCATCAAAGTTGGACTAGCTGGAGGTTGCTGTGCTTGTGAATGGCGAACCTCTATCGTCTTGGCATTTCCAGCATCATATCACCGATGATGAAGATTTAGATCCATTGTGCAAACTGATTGCCTGTAGTCGTTGTCTTGGTAAGTATTTGATACCATGCTAATGTAGGAATGACGGTAGTTTCAGCTGTTCCTTTACTGTACGTTAGCGAGCTCATCGGTAGTTGGCAAAATGTTCATCTGGTGTTATTGTTGTTGTTGTTGAACTTGTGTCCTCTTGGCTTGAGCAATGAGGTAGGGCTTTAGAGGGATGATAGTAGTAGTAAAGACGATGACTGGATGGATAAAATGATGCATCGATTTTATAGGACGATCATGCCATCGATGAGTAGTTTAGTCTATTTTAAGACAGTACATTCAACGTCGCTAGAAGGAATTGTTACAGGATAGTAGCATGTTTTTTTGCCACCATGTCTATATGGCTTACACAGTTCTACCTGACAATCGCAATCTTTCAAAGTGTCAATGGAGCAATAAATCATGCACGTTATACCATTCAATGGTAGTAGAGCCAATCAACTTGGATGCGAGTACTGTAGACGACAACATAGGGTTTGATGCAATCTCAGATAGTGGTAGAATTAAGGTCTTCATAACAGATTGAAAGACGCTACCTTGTTATTATATAGACTTACCATGGATGATTTAAGAAAAAAGATTCTTACGGATAAGGATAATACTAGTATTAATCCGAAATGCAAGTGAGATAATTCAAAAATACTTATTCATAAGATTGCTTGACGGCATGAACGTGATACAATGGTACGAGTATAGTAATAGCTTGCATCAACAAACGATAAACCTTACTTGTTGTCGCAGGTTATGTCATGCAATCCTTTTAACAGGTCGCTACTTCTATCTCGTTAAAATTTGTATACTCATCAAATTATGAACGTGATGAACTTTTGCAATTGCAACACGTATCAGTTACTTGCTCTGCTTTTGTTGACTGTAGTTCATTAACTACGCTTCCAAGTAGAATCAGACTACTCGTATAGATCTATTCTTGATTACCTTAATCGTTGAGTCATTGAATAGTACATCAAAATCATACATCTGATATCGTATTTGCAACTAGAAAATAGTACAATTGCTATTGGTTATCACGCATATAATAACACGAAGATTGCTTTGCAATTCCGTTAGAATAGCAAAAAGAAATCAATCAATAATGGATGGCCATCAATCGAATCAACAGCAACCACAAAAATTGCAATCGTCAACCGCCGCTGAATATGGTAATAACAATAAAAATATTGGTACTCCACCCGCTCTGATGGCGTTAGCGTCAACAGCGGATGCAACAAGAACAAGCAATTCAATGGCTTTACCACACGAATTGCCCAATGTTTATTCGACTTCGCATAATCGTGATGGTATCCCAACAGTTTATGGTTATCCACCAAGTAACATCAGTTCTTTAACCCCTCATTATGCGCCATTACAGGCTCAGCTATATGATCAGTACGGTGAATTAGCACTACATGCTATGCCTGTACTCCCTATTCATCATACGCAATTACAGCCAGCGTCAGCTGTTGGACAAACTCATCTTATTGCCAGTAATAACTTACATCAAAACGAAACAACAGCAACTGCTAGATCTACAAATGCCGGACAAATTGGAGTTCAGTTTGATGGCTCTAGCGGAGCATTTAAGCCTTTCACTACTACAAAAGATGCAACTACAAGCGATGATAGAAAAGCTAATACTGAAGAGAAGAACAAAACTGATGATCGCGTTAGTCAAGCCATACCATCTGGTAATGAATATCCTTTAATTTGATCAATAGTATATCGTCGTCATTCTGTAATAGTTTACTATCCCAATCAGGCTATATTAACAACTTTATCATTAGCCATGCTTTAGTTATTATTTCTTGATCATCACATGAAAGTACTTTTATTTATTTTCAATCGTTCAACGACAGTTTTGTTCGAATTGGATACCATGATTTTGATAGTGTTGTATTAGACGAGTACACTACTATTGTAGAAATTTCTCATATGTTGGTAATTAGTACTGACATATGTTACTTTACTATTAACACTTTTATGAATTTACTTTTACTAGAGGGTGATAAAAATAATAATAATGCCAAAAAGGAAGAAGATTTATCAGCAGAGACAAATGGTGTAGACAATGCCGGCACATCCAAGGATAGCTTGGAAGTGGAAAATAATCGTGATGGGAGATCTCGTCGTAAAAGGAAATCCACTTATGGTGGTAATTGTCCAATATGTGGTATGACTATAAGGACAAGTGATTTACAAAGCCATTTGGATATGGAGTTGAAGAAAATGACTGCCATGTTTTCTTCTCTGAGTAAAAGTAATTCGCGTAGGAATTTGCGTGAATCAAGCCATGGAAGAAAATCCACGCAACAGGTTTACTAATGGCTTTTCTGTATATAAATAAGTCCAACTTTGAATATTATACCATAATGTACATTTTAAACAGCTAGTCAGAAACAGCTTCGTATATTGGTGTTATCACTATGTTGATGCTACTGTACGAGTATTTGTACAGTACACTTCGTTGCATTGACGTAATTACGTTATAGTTGACACTTTGAAATTTCTATTTAATGTCTAATTAATCAAAATTATCAATGACGACTATACTGCATATCTTAATCGTACGCGTATATAGGCATCGAGCAAGAAGCAGAAAGAAAATACGGAAAGTTTGTCACCAAGCATTTCTCATGGATCGTTGTATGAAGTTTTTGAATCTGTACGAAATAACAGATTAATCAGGAGTAAGGGTGAAAGTTCATCGGATGGAACGTCTTTAACAAGCAATGCAATGAATAGAAGATTATTAAATCAAGGAAGATATAGTGGTAATACATATTTGACAGCCTCAAGCTCTACAACATCTACATCTACCTTGTGTCCAATTTGTAATCAATCAATTACTGGCAGTGATACGGAAATGAACGATCATGTAAATAATTGTTTAGGTAATAAGGGTATTAGCAACGAAGGAAGTAGTGGTCATCAAAGTGATAAATTTATTGAATACGATTGGTGTGGTAAGTATTTCAATTGTTTTTACCGCATAACATAGAATTTCTATCGCGAAGAGATGATGTTGTCAAATCATACAGAGATAGGTATAATAGCAAACCTGATTCGTATTCGGATCTTTACCCTAGGCGAATCAAGGGTACGAGCCACCGCGTTGGTTGAGGAAGACTTGACTGCATCTGGTTTTGAAAAAATTAAAAAAACTGATGAAGACGAAAATGTTGTTATTGATATTGATGTTAGCGAAGCTTTTGGTAAGTCGCAGTACACAGAAGCTGATTTAATACCATGTAGTGCTGATGAAGCTAAAGAAGAGCGATCTAGAAAGGCTTTGCGGCAAGCTATGCTAGGAATTGATAAATCATCCAAAGCTGTGGAAAGTAGTAAATGGACTAACTGTAAATCGAATGATAGTAAGTACTGTATGATATTGCTGAGTAATTAATTGTACAATATACCTTACTTTAAAAGTGAAAATGTACAAGATGAAATCACTGTAAATCAGATTCTTGACTAGTTAGGATACCAAAAATTTAGTATCTATTAAAAATGATTGCTAATGCTTAAACCTTGTACAAGTTAAATCAGTTGTTGCATACCGTAAAGCCATGAAGTTCTGCTTTTTGCGCGCTTTCACAGCTATACTGCATTAGCACCCCTAGTACCTTTTTCGCTTCTCACGATTGTAGTATTAATGCTTCTTGCTTGGCTAAATGCACTTCCTTTCTGCACCAACTGATGCCTGTTATGCTCTTCCATCTTTATTTCAAGTAATCGACAGTTTTTATAGTCGCTGCGATAGCGATATTATTTTCACCTAGAATAGAATAGCGTTAGTACACTGCTGTTTAATATTAGCACAAAATGTTATAAGCCCTATCGTGCGTATAAATCACATTTGAATTTAGAGAAATACGACGTAGTCAAGAAAGCTCATGGCAGAAGAGAAAGGAAAAGCACGCTCTAGTCGGATCTTCAGTACGTTTAAGCATGTTGACTTGAAAGAAAAAGGATAAATAAAGATTTCTTATCCAATTATTGTCTAAATTCCGCCATTATTGCTGTAATTATATTTGAATGATTGACCGTATGAGCAATTCTGGAGTTGATATACTCCTTCGTACGTTTGTGCTGTATCCCTTTTGCGATAATTGTGCATTTAAATATTCGGAACATAGTAAATTAATGGATCATTAACGTGAAATATAATCCTTTCATAGTAGATATTAAAAGTCAAGTGGTAGATGGTGTTGGAGGTGATACTGAAAAAGGAATCAAGGATCGTAATTCCGATAAGAGAACATCGGATAGTTCATCGTCGTTTAATCCGTCTTATAGATGCTTAATATGCATGGAGCCTTACTATATCCCATTAACTTCGATTAATTGTTGGCACGTTCATTGCGAAGAATGTTGGATGCGAACACTAGGTGCTAAAAAACTTTGTCCGCAGTGCAATGTAATAACTTCACCAGCCGATTTACGAAAAATTTATCTATAGCAGCGTAAAATATTTTCAATTTACCCATTTTTTAATATCTTACTATTATATGATTGACTTATTTGAGGCATTCAGTAAAATAGTTAGTAATTAAAGATATTTGTTAAATTCGAACATGAGATATATGCAACAGATTACAATTTTATCGTGCTGGGTGGTGAGCAGTCCTAATGGCTCTGTAGGCTACTACAATCATCTTGAGCTAAATACGATATATGATATTTAATAATGTTATTACCAATGATTGACTAACTGAAAGATTTTTATTCTCGAGCTAACCTACTTACGCGATGATGTGGCTGCACTGTGATACGCTGTAGTACTTTTGTCACGCCATATTAATAATATTTATTTGCAACAATTTATTATTTGATAAAAACTCTATATCTGATTGTAATGAACATTTCAAACTATTTATATTACTGTTGCCACTCATAACTTGACAATAGTTTGCTTCACGATCGAATATGATTAAATATTTCTACTTACATCATCCTTATTTTTAATCCTTTCGATCTGTTTTAACAGCGCCATAGCACATTTGCTATTTCTGCATTCTTTATATAAAAATTATAGGCTATCATCATTTTGTTGGGGTCGATATGTAACGTATTTGAGTAACAAGTTTCTATTAAGTGTAAAGATATCCACTTTGACAGTTTTTTAAGCAAGCATAACTGTTGTTGAATGACTTTCTATTTAATAAAAAATGTAATTCTATCTTTGTCCAAGAGTAACTACTCTGCGAATTAATTCTTTATACTCGCTGTAATGTTACAACCAAATCGGTGACCTTATCAAATGAAATTCTTCTCTATAGATTGAAGTTATTGTATGTCTTGATCAAGTCAGCATATAGTATAGATCAAAGATCTGTATATGTATATATATATATATATATATATATTGGCATTGAGCATAAAATATTACTTGTATTTGTATAACTAGGATTTTTAATTAAATAATTGAAACATACATGTACTGTGATTACAAAGCATCTTTAAGGCAATATCGATATGGTGAATGATAGTGAAATGATATATGCTCACGCAGTTTGATACAAACAAGCAGAATGAAGGCTGGTAAGACAGCAAAGAATGAGTTGACGATTCTTTTCATTGGAGTACCTAAGACAAATTGATTGCTGCACAGTTTTCTATAAATTATCGCTCCTAAGATACATACTATAAGTTTTTGCGTTGAAATGCTTAAAAATGTTAAAATAAGAACCAGTATTTCTCGCAAAAATTGCCTTTTATTACATAAACTTGATTTGTTTAATAATACCATGGACCTTTCAGTCTACAATTTTAATCTAAGCCAATTTGTGGTTGCCGTGCAGCTACCCACGAACGTAAATGATGTACTAAATTACAAACAAGTACGTATTACAGTAAATATCGTTCTATAATGCCTGCAGTACACTTACTATGCACGAATGAGAAATTGATAATATAAATAAGAATGGATGTAGGTATTGGTTAGCAGTTAGCCAGATTACAAAAGCTTACGATAAATCATCCCATAAAATCTTGCAGTAACCCTTGTAATCGTTCTAATTCTAGTGAATTGTAACACTAACTATTTTAAATTGATTTGACGATCCTGCATTTTATAATTATTGCAAGATGGAGTCGACTGCTTGCGCTAGATTATTTACAACAGCATCTGGTTGAACTTGTGGATGATTCTCGTCGGATGGTCTAATTAAACAAAATATGTATCTTCATTTAAGTTGGCTAGCAATAGTTTTTATGAGCCTTATCAAGAGTTATTCGTAAGAAAAGGATAGGATGATTTTAACAACATTGGGAATACTCACCTATATTTTCCTGTTCTAACCAAAACTCCACGTAAGCCGCAAGCTTGTGCGCCACCAACATCGCTTACAACATCATCACCAATCATCAGAAACTGTGTATTAACAATGATAAGAAAATATAGTCGTAACACATTGAACGTGAAGTTATACAAATATTACCTGGGTTTAATGATAGAGTATTAAATACTTACATGTTCTGGATTAATATTGAAACCGGCAAGTGCCGCCATAAAAAATGTTTTCGATGGTTTGCCGACTACTTCTGCTTCAATCTGGCATGCATACTGATGTTGTAAGGTAATTTATTGAGTTCCAGAAGTAGGTTGATTCATAGCAATGAAGATAACTAAAATCTATAATTATTCAATTATATCGTAGAAATACCTTACTTCTAACACCTTGGAGAAAGGGCCAACATCAAGCTTCAATCCATCAGTTTCCTGGTAATATCGTCTATTTTAAATCAATATTACAAACAAGACTGAGTTACAGTTTCTGTATCTCATAAGTTACCTGAATTAATATTCTTCATGTTGATGTTAACAATATCAATCCATCTATTCTGTAATTGCATTGCTGGTTGGTAATTGAGCCTTAACACAAACCCTTTTCCTAGAGAAATCAGCTTGGGTTGCTTCATGTTCATTAGTATTGTAAAAGCTTCATTTAGTGCTGCATAAGAAAAAGCATCTGTAGCATCACCAATAACTACACAGTTAGGATTTGATTGGTCGATATCAACAAATTCATCCAAGACGTCTATTTAAATTTATTGGAGAGACAAGGGTTAGCGTTCGGGGAAACGATAAATAAAAATGGATTAGTACAATTTATTTAATGGCATTTCAATATACTTGATTCTAGATTGGTGCCAATTATTGCCTTACCTGGATGTACAAGCAAATGAGGGCGTAGTGAGTTTTCTATCAAAAAACTTTTAACTGCTTTAATAGGTGAATAGATATCTTCCTCCTGAACATTAAATCCTAAACGTTGTAATTTCTTAACTAATGTATCGATCGAACACTGAGATTCATTTGTGCACAATCTAAGGGGAAAATGTGCTTTCTTCAATCTGATAAATGATTATAAATTATAATTATAGATTAATAATCATGAGTATTCTAGAGAATAATGCAACTCGTTTAAGATATCACAGAATTTGATTGATGCTTAATTCTACATTGCGTTACACTTCACCAGCCGATGCAATTCTTGACAAATATTACACTGTAATATGATACGTGCTTGCTTTGCACAATGGAAGGAAGCTATGCATTAAGTTTAAGTATGAGCCGCCTTACTAGTTTTCCATAATGTTAAGGGTATGAAACTAGCAGATAATTTTTTTTAGAACTCATACCTTGCTAAAGCCTCTACAGATCCATCAATTGCTTGACCACCAGAAACGCCAGAATTGTATAAAACACCAGATATATCTAGCAACAAGCCTTGCAAACGATTATTACCTCGCTGTAGCCAGCTTGATGATGCCATCTGATAGTTGCTCAAGGGATACCTCAAAATTTGACAACCTCTGCGGTAAAATATTATTTCTTTACCGAACTCTATTGGAACAACCGAGTTGCTTAAGAACTATCATCGAAAAAGTAAACAAACAAATTCATGATGCTGTTTTGCAAAGACTTATTAGAATAGACATTGCATACCTACCTTGGACTAAACTCAAGCTTGCTATGGTGCATAAAGTATAAAATGTTCTTCTCTTGGCTTGTATCACTTAGTTAGGTTGTATGCTTAGGCCCCTGACTTATTTTTAATTCCTGATTTCCATCTCGATGGTGGAACTATAGGTTATAAAAGGACCGACGACTTCTTCAGGTAGAACCTGGACAGGGGACATGGAGAGTTGGAGACGTGGAGAGCAATGGTGGCATACGCATGCGTATTTTATTTCCGCTTAGTTGCCATGGATTTTTGCTGCCTAATGCAAACCTGTAGGTTATTAAACTTCTGTTAAAGTTGAATTTATTTTACGCTAAATTGCTCGATCCTTCTTGAAGAGCAAGCGGGCATTATCTGCCGGTGAGATATCAATTAAATTCTAGGTATATACAGGAGTAATATTATCATCATGATCGAATTCGTAACTGTCGGTCAGGTGCATATGGGGAACTGAGCCAAAGTTGACGATCAATAGCCTCTATGATTTAAATCAATATTAGGGATATTCTGCCGCAGAATTGGAAGTATACAGTGATTTTAATCTGCTCTATCAATTTTTGATTGAAGTGTGGAATCTGCATACCGAAGTTCAGATAAAATGATTGAAAGTACTATTCAAGAATAGGCAATGGCCTGCAGAGATTGCATACGAGTATTTGTAATGGCAGATAAGATGGTAATTTGATTTAAATCCATCAGCTATGACAATATGCAAATGCGACAAGGTTATTCTATTTCAATTCCTGCTACTCTATATTCGATATATAGTGAGAAATTGATTTCCGTCCGTTTAATTTAATATTACCAATTATGCAACATTACATCTAAGATTGCTGCAACACCAAAGCAAAATAATCCATGACTGATTAAGAATAAATTAGAATTTATTTATTTTCTAAATTACTCAAGCGCGTCTTTTAAGCGCTACTTTACTATACACTGTAGTGACATATCGAAATCTGAAGCTCTATCTTATTCTATTTATTTCATCGTTATAATCAGAGGGGATGGGTTGTTCATGCTGATTTAGAATACGCTAGCATTAAACGAGATTCTACTGATGCATTTTCTTAAATGTTATTGCCAATTCCTTAAATCATTAGTTTGTTTAGAGGTTGCATATTCATAATAATATCAATAGAATAAATATGTATACGATATAAAAAAAAGTCACTACAGAATTTAAAAGATTTAACAAAAGACTCTATGAAATCTGATTCTGATCTTAAAGTATATATTAAAAGTATGCAATATATAAATATGATCCATATTCGGTGATCAATTGGTCATGGTGCTCAACTCGATTAAAGGATTATTCATATATAAATATTAAATGCTACATCAGCTCTAATTTGCTGAATTTTATAAGGCCTTAATAATATAATATTGCTTGCTATCTGTTTGACAAATAAAAAGAGATTGCTCTTGATTGCCTATGATGGTTTTAGGTTTGATCGCTGGTGCCTCAATAGTCTGCATTAATGCAAGGGTTTTATTATCATAGATTAAGATTTTGTAACTCATCCAATCCACAATAATGAAGTATTTCGATGTGATTAAATTTTCCAAGCTATTAAGTTCAAAGTATTCTGTGAATTCTCGAGTCTGTTCGCCGTAGCCTTTCATAACCAGGACGAGGTGGCCGTTAAACATCTATAACAACACATTGGACTAATCAGTCCTCTAAAAAATTGATTTGTTTTTACATCAGAATATTTATCTGTGAATGTAGAGTTGTTACCGTAAATTCATTTTCTGTGCTTAACAAGAAGCGTTCACGATCATAGCGCCGACAATTCTTGAGCTTAGAGATGAATTTATGAGAATACTTTAGACGTAATGGTGCTATCGTATTGAAAAATGAGCTGGCACATAAATCAATTTCAATAACATAATATTATACAATTAATTCTATCGTACTAACAAACAAATCAGCCTCTTTTTCCCCCCATTCTTTAATCATTTCATCTTGATCCTCTACATACAGTGGTGATAAATTAACTTTAATGCTATCTGCACTCTTGGAAATAGGAATGGTAATTTTAAAGGCTATTCCATCATCTATTGAGCTGTAATAGTGAGATTTAACCAATTGTGTTGAGGTTATTCCATCACCTAATTTGTACCACTAAAGCGAATATACATAGTTAAAGTAATATACAAATAATCTAATTTGATATAATATCTCATATGAGATTGATTCATTTGATGCTGAAGTAAAAGTACAGCAATTAAAGATTATGGCCCATGATAGACCTTCAAATTTCGGAGAATCTTATTCGTCTTATTAATATTTGCTTACTTTAATGACACTTTCATCGCCTCCTTCGCTGATCGTTTGTTGAATAAATAGATTGTAACAATCTGCGTAAATTAGTTGAGTAAATCGATGCGCTGCGGTATCATCCAAATAGATTGTATGTTTTTCTTCACGGGAAAAATTGATTTTAACTACAATGATCTGTTCACTGTCATCATCAAACTAAAGTAGAATGAAATAGAGTAAATCTTATTGTCTTTTAGTAGTATCTTACTAAATAAAAGGCAAATAATGCGCTATCTTGATGATAGTTTCATATTAACTTACCAGAGCTGAAATTAGAAATAGGTAAGTTTGATCAGATTCTCTAAAACTTGACTGGAGTATTAATAACTGATTGGAGTCTGTATTTATTTTGAATTCAGACTGTCCTCTCTGACGTAGATTTGTTTGCAATCCGGTTAACTATTAGAATAAAAATGTTAGTGATTTATTAGTGATGCATTAAGTTGTCACTTAATCTGAGATAGAGCGATAACATCAAATTATAGGTTTGAAAAATTGTCGATATAATCCTTGAGCTTATGTTTGAGTATGTACTAATTTAGTTTATAAACGATCGATAAAAACTCAGAGATTTTTGAACCAAATTAATCTCTTACTTAATGAATCATATAGTTTTATATCGTTGGATATTCAAGTTACTTAGTTCTTGATCTTGGTTAATTCTAATTTATTCCTATCGAATCGATTTCGCTCGTACTGAACAGAGGATTGGTGCATTAATTGAATTTACTTCTAAAATCTATGGTAGGCTTATGATGTACGATAAGGGAACTAAATAGGTATCGTGACATTATCAATATTCATTTTTATTTTTCAAGTTAGCTAGTAGGATTATTGACTAGCCTCTTTGATTTTGACGTGCCGGTGCTCAACTTTACTTTTACTATCTTCTAAGCTTTGCTGATTTACGCAATGCTGGCTGTAGTAAAGATTAATGGAGTCATTATTATTATAGAGGAAGCAGTCGTCATATTCTTGGTCTAATGCAAAATTGGAAGTAGCTTTCAGGGTTTCGCCTTGATAAATCTGCCAATAATAGTAAAAAAGAATACCTCAAGTATTTTGAGTGATCACAAACTATAATTATTTTATCGCAAATTTGATAAGATAAAAGAACGGATTTAATATATACTTGACTTCGATTTATTTCAGCCTATAAGAAACTTACATATACTTTATAATCAATCTTTGGATGACTTCTTATTAATAAGGCAATAATAGGAATGCCATTTATAAAGGTGCAACTTGAAGCTACGATTATCTGATCATAATTGCCACTATGTTGATTAAGTCCTTTCTTCCAGCCATGCTGCTTTCCTAAATGGAGATTCAATTCATATACATTTACCGAATATAAAAATTGTAATTCCACGTGATGATAATTTTTTCCTTACCAGTAATATCATAACGAGATAAAACATTGCTAAAAATATTGCTATAAGTGAGCAAGTGGTTACTATCTGGAACAAACATTAATTCTGATATATTTTCAATGGTGTCAATTGTCAAATGGGAATGAATGCCTCCACAAGCCACCTTAAATATCTGTTCTTTGCGAATAAATTAAAAAGTAACGTATCAATCAGGCTGTGGAAGTGAATATGAGAAAAAAGCAACCTTCACACTTTAATAGATGTCATAAACCTTAGAATTACGTGTTACAAACGTACATTAATGGCATAATTCGTTGAGAATGCAATTAATCGATGATCATGGGACAAGGTTAGATTTTCGATAAGGGCATCATGACATTTATGTAAAAGCTGCAACGACGTCGTAAATTGTGAAGTAAAATCGATGAAGCTTGTTTGATTATCTTCTACCACTAAATAGGTTAGTAAATTATCATATTTTAGTACGATTATTGGAATATTCTGGTCTACATATTCGACTTTCATTAATAAATTGCCGTCATCTATCGTTTTAGGTTTGGCGAATCCATTTTTGTCATCTAAATAGTTTATGGAGGAAAGGACTTGAAATGATTGATGATGGTGCCAGTCTTTAAGATTCCAAATCTGGTAAAATCATTATCGCATGACTTAATTAATATCGTAATTTATCAAGGGTAGATTACTGCAAAAGTTTCTACGTAGGATTAAGATTACTTCTATTTGGCAAGATTCAATGCTTAGTGAAGAATCTTCCGCGGCCGGCATTAAATTTCGGTTATCAATAGGCCACCATACGATAATTTTATTGCTATTAGCTATAAATCTACATCCAAATATCTTGCAATGGGCAGCCATAATGGTCTGTCGAGTTTGCTTGATATTCTTATCTTGTATTTCCCAAATCTACAATGATTAAAATTAATGCAATAATGTAAGGCTGCTAAGCTTTTAATTGCTTAGATAAGAAGAAGACTAAAATAGTGCATTATGCTTTGAATTAACTTTACGTTATTCGGAATTATGATCACTAATTTCTAAAATTATCCACGTGCTGGTATACTCATATGTTGATTTAATCTGATTTTAAATTATCCAACTTTCAAATTTGCTTAATTATAGGATAAAGCTAAGGTGGATACTTTGTGGACCAATATTGACAGATATCTACTATATTTTATTATTAATTTTGATCAGTTATATTTGAAATTACCTAAAACGGTATTATTTTGATTCAATTTGATTTAGTATTATTATATATTCGTAGTTGTTTTATAGTAAGCTGAGAAACTAAGGTCTAGCAGAAAGCTTGATATTTATTATATTTGATATCTATCATAATTTTTGTTGATTTATACAGACCAATGCAAGAATATGGCTATATCAGTCTATCATACAGTTATGTATTCCTTACGTTAAGATTTTGCTGATTCAATGATATCGTCATCAAGATTGGATAGCTGGATGTTACTGGGTAAATTTCTAGTAAACGACATAATAAGGAAATTGATTTCTTTCCATCTTGATGAATAAACTGGAGTTGCTGGTTCGTACAGGTGCAATAAATTCTCCATTCTTCGGATTTCATTTCGATCTAATTACAGGGATATTTTAGATAAGACCTATTGTTGCTACTTTATTAGCGTTAAGATTATATTTTAATCTATTGCGTATAGGAAGAAAGACATATGAGCAATTAATGAGCATATTTCAAAATAATTTGAAAGATTACTTGTTGTAAAATTTAGTTTTTGAAGTGTTTTTAATATTAGTATGAGTATTGCAGAGTCGTAAAGGACTATTGAGAATAACTATGAAGAAAAATGATAAATTAACTAATAGTTCTTTACTTTCTAATGTTAGGGCAGATGCAGCTCTTGTCATTTTACGAATGTATCAAAAATTTTTGTATACTTCTTCATTGAAATATATCTAGCTCATTTCCTAAGTATGTACCACAGTTGAATGAATGATCAAGGAAATGAGATTTCAACGTACATTATAGATTTCTTCATCACTATCTGAATCAATTGGGTTAGAGGAATGATCTTGACTGTCTTCGCTTTCAACGGAGTAAGCTATAAATTTGCCGTCCGATGATATTAATATTTGATTTAGTAGTATATTTGGTAATTCCAGTCTATAAGTCGTTTGAGTACTTTGATAGTCGGTTACCTGTAAAAAGGAATCCGTATAAAGCATGCGGTTGAGTGGCAGAATTTTCTGATAATTTATCGTACGCATAAACCTTTAATTTAGCACTTTTAAAGTAACGTTGAATTGGATCAAAATACTAATCTTACCACAAGTTCACCGTCATTTGTAGCGTTGTTGTTGCTAGATATAATTTTTAAAATTTCATCTGATGATTTATAGCATTTAGGTGAAACATCACACCTACTTGTTCCAATTGCCATAGATGATAGACGGGTATCTTCAGCAATTCTTCGATCAGTATAACTGTTTTTATGCCATGTTTAGGAATAAGCTTAGTCAATAGGTGCATGATAGAAATTTATTTAGACATCATTCAGCAAACTTACGCTGTTATCTTCCACTTGGGGAAATTTTTGTCGGTAATATTTTCACATGGTAAATCCATAGGGTTACTATAAATCCTGTCAAAATCTAATGATAAACAGAATCTTATGGATTAATTGCCTTCTATTCATTTACTACAGCATTTAATATACGTATTGGGTAGCGGTAGAAGACTTGTAAAGATTTTCTAATACTGTACAAAAGTTTATGTAATTGTGAATAGTGCTAAACTGCATACACACGGTGCTTGACCACGATCTGTTCTATCAAGTGGACGTTCTAGAGCAAAATTGTGCATCTTAAGAGTAAGGCTATAAAGGGTGAACCAGGACTAAGTACGATATAGCAAATTTTTATTATATTAAATTCTACACAATCTTGCTAAAGTTTTACTTGTAATTATAGGATGTAAAGGCATAAGTACGAAATTAAGTTAGGCAATACCACAAAATAATTTATTACTACCGTTCACATTTAAAGTAAGGTTTTTGCTCGTTTGGATCGGAATTGATACTCCACATTCTATCTGCAACTGCTTTTAGTATGATATCAGCTTTACTTATGCATCTCTGAATCGCTACAAGTTATTACTTCATAACTGCAGTATAATTGAAATGCTGATCAAGACATATTGGCACGTGGCGTCATTAGAGTTGGTACTTTAACAGGTATTAAATTCAGTCTCTATTGAGATTCTAAGCTACTACTTTGAATAATCAATCATTATGTACTTGGGTGCATTTGCAGTCGAAATAAATAATTATTCTTGCATTTCAACAGCTTTATTCTTGACAGGCAAGATCTGTCTCTAACTACTTACCGGACGTTGAATCTTTAAGTTGCTCTATTCATTTGATAAAAAAAAATTGGACGTTACAAAAAGAAAACTGAACATAATTTAGGAAATTGCTTCAATTTCCGGTAACATTCTAGCGTTACATCGATTATGAATGCTATTCTCTATTTTGACTTTATTTAAAACAGTTTACTACATTATAGGCGTTGGTTGATTTAAGTATTTAGTCTAATTAACTAATACATCTGTTAAAGTTACACCTTAATTATTGCAAAATTACCTTGTCTTATCAAATCTACTATATTACTGTCATTTTGTAACATTACTCCTAACTGTCGAATGGATGCTGTTGCATGGCTTTGTAAGGCTTGACAAAACTGGTAAAAATCAGAGCTCTCTTTGCGTTTTAATATCGCTATCAGCTGAAATTGCTTTGCAATAGGCGGTAAATCTAAATGAAATGCTTCGACTTCATATTCTGACAGAATATTCCTACTTGCAAAGTCATCAATGAGGTCTGCTAATGGAATCTCATGAATTAATTTCTGATAGTATTTATCGATAACTTGTAAAACTTGAGAAGACAACCCCATATTGCAGCCAGTTCTACACACTTTCGTAGCTTGTAAATAGAACCAAGATATCAACTTAATTAAGAGCTGATTGTAGACTATGCCAATATATCTTCCTTTTCCACCGATTAAGACATCTATCCATAGGTGCTAATGCCTCCTTATGCTGTCAACGATTGCTTAAGGGATGAAATTAACTTTGCATTCCATTTCAGTTTAAGCTTATAGACTGTAGATAGAGCTCCTTGTAGCAAGACTAGATCATGTCTTGAATTACCATTCCTTTATAAATTAATTATTAGTCTGTTACTAATCTTCCTACAGAACCGTTACGATCATGCGCAAAGGGTACACGTATATCATATCATTTTCCCGTTATCTTTACTAGCGGTATATTGTGCCAAGTGATTGTCTCGATTACTAGAAATACACTAGAGATTGTTATAAGGAAGTAGCTTAATAACATCTATTTGAAAATTACAGCTACCAGCATTTTTTGTCGATTATTGGCCAAGTATAAATTATACGAAGAATTAGAAAACAAGTAGTTACAAACTTAAGGAAATTTAAGCTTTTTTAGATGCTCTAGTTAATGCATTTATAGCACAACCTTATAAAATTGATTAAGTTGATTTTTGAATTTTAGGGCTATCATTAACATTATCATATTTTATTCCCTTTCTTGTATAGCAGATAATTTATATGTAAGTATTCAGTCGAATGATGGAGCTAAAACTTTATTTTACCAAAATTTTACAGAATCAAATCACTTTTAATTAAGCATACTTAATATTACATATTGCAATCATTAAAGGACTATAATGGATCATTCAAGAGTATAAAATTCGATTGCTTTGCTCATCGTTATTTTATTACTTTAATATTGTCATGGGTGGAATAAATTTAATGAGTATTCTGGTGGTTTGGGGAATATATTTAACGTTAAGGTGAGGAAAGTTATTTCCAAAATTTACCTGTATAAATTAAAAATATCTGCTATACTTTCACTTGAAATTAATACCTGGCAACTTATAATTCTTTAAGCTTACCATATAGCGCGAAATGGAAGATGCGAAGCAATTTTAGTCTAGCATTTGGACTAACTGACGTGATGATTACCATAATTATTCAATTTTTGCCGGCTTCTAGCCTTTCTGTATACTCAGTTAATAGCTCTTATGATCGTTACTCTTTTATCATTTTCATGCTATTGCAGCATTAAAATTGCTGACACGGCACATAATCTAAATTATAAACGATTAATTTTGAAAATTTTAAGTCATATAGTAAGTGAAAGGTTAAAAATTCATTCTACTGCTGATTGGCTTTTAAAAAGTTTTTGATCAAATCTATAGATATGTAAGGCTAAAGGAATGGCGTTACAATATTTGGTCACAACGTACTTTACATGTATGTTTGTCTCTTGCATTCATGGTTTTTGCTACCGAAAAGGTCATCATATAGGCAATAATGGATGGTGGAAACTCCTATATATCATTATCAGATTGGGTAAGTTCGATTTATCTAATTAGTGAGAATTTTCAAGTATTACTATGATACTTAAGTATTGCATTTGTAATATACTTGCGACATAGCTACGCTTACACAGACGTAGGTACAAACTTTGCAAAATGCATCCGAACAAAAAATAACCTAATTGCATTGAATTCAGAGTATATACTAATTTTAAACATACTAAATATCCTTTATTTTAAATGAATTCATCGTCAAATTTAATATTTGCAGCGCCATTAAAAATAAATTTTACTCTTTTTATTTAAGCAAGATATAAATTATCATTTTCTAATCTAACTTAATTACTGTTTTAGTGATACCTGCTGTTCCGATGGTTATTGCCTATTTTAGTAAATCTTGCATTTATAGCGCTATTATCAATGTCTTTGGCAAAGAAATGTAAATAAAAATTTATAAATACTACTATTATCTTATACCGTCGATGATAAGAGCGTGTTCTGAAAATTTATGCTATATTATTGAGCTTACTCTAATCTTTTAATTACCGGTATTTCTGTTGGCTAACCTTATATACAGCAATTTTTATTTATCTAATTGTTTCACTTTTATGTTGGTTACAGTTGTGGATCGCAGGGTACCATCAACTTATATTTTCTTATTCCGTTAGCCATTATTCTAACGGTATATCTAGTGAGTAGAAACTATAGCTTAAATTTAATAGTAGTGAATGAAATTTATCTCTTACCTCCTTTACAGCTTGAGTCAATATTTCATCGTAATGCTTTATGGTTTTCTTGCAAAATAGATTTCATTTCTCTTCATAATATTTAATAGCCATCATGAAACTTATATATTGTCAAACGCTAAAACACATCAGGATCCTATCACTAATTTAGTGATGACTTTCAAAGAACAAAGCAAAGATTCAAAGCAGGTTCTAATAATTAATACTGTAATTACCTATGAATAGGACATGCATGTTTTTTTATAAGTATTTGTCTTATACTTGTTAGGAAATATAAAAAAAATTTATGAAGGCGTTATCGTTATGGTTACTGCGGCTGCTAAGTGGTTATTCTTTTGCAGCTTTGTTTCCTATCGTCATTTTACGAGCGGTTTTTATTTATTACATTAAATACCTTACTACATCTTCTTCTTGTCATCATTTATTATTTAAGAGACGACTAAGTAAGTCACTCATGAGCCTACTGTTTTAGTAACCAATCATAGTATTCAAGCTGTGCAGTGAGTCCAAACGTTTATTAATAATAATTTGAGTCCATTTTTTATTTTAATGTTAGATCCGAAGTAGTTTAGATAAAAAATGGAATCGTGCCAAGCGTACAGAGGAAACCAACATTTAGTTTAATCAAGTTATTATAGATCCGAGCAAGAACTATGACATTCCTCGCTAAGTATTCAAACCATTAGATTACTATATTACAATAAAAATCTGTTAGAATAGCGCGGATTTAAATTTAATTTTGCGACCGAGTTTACTGTATTAACAATAATTTATTATTAAAATTTCTATCTTAAGAATTAAAAATTTGAGTAATACGAAATACTAATAGAGATCCGTACGTTAGAAAAGCTTTACTGACTCATTTTACCAGATAGTATTAGGAAATTGTCTAAATTCACTTAGTCATTTGGAGCTTACGTCATCAAAGATTTTAGTGATAATTAAGAAAAATATAGGGCTATTCAAAATCAAAATAGATTCTATTTATTTAAAATTATTTATCCTAACTGTATAATAATACAAGTGTAATGGTTGACTGATTGTAGTACACAAATGATATTATAGCCAATAAATATTGCATGCTTATAAGCTTCTTTTCTTGATGTTAATTTTTTATCTATCGCTCATTAATCTAACGTAAGGTAGCAGGATTTCTGTGATATAGTATTAATGTATATTGATTTCAAATTGTTTTTTCAAGTCCATAACTAAGACAACCGTTATTTTATATTTTTACTGTATTCAGTGGTTTTATCGTATTTAAGATTAGAATATTATGGTAATCCTCATTTATAATGTATCAGTGTTTATAAGGTACTTACATTACCTCATTTGCTGTTAACAGAACTATCATATCTTCTCAAATTATCGTAATAAGCGCTATTTATGTGACACTTTAGCTATATCATACATAAATGTGAGATGCTCAATTGTACATGGGTCAGAAATCCAATAATACCGGTATTTCGCCCTTAAAAATTCTATTTCATAATGTCACAGTCATCAAAACAACTTAAATATGGATGTGCAATTTATGATAACATTTTGTTTTCAACTTTTAAGAAGTATGAACTACTACTTTAGGAATTGTTGTTAGTGATACCCTAAGTTATTATGATATAATGATGATACTGTAATATGTTATAAGTAAGTATCGAGAACATAGGAGCTTGACAGGACTTACAGCCGAAGTAGATTTACGTATGAAATTGTTTATTGCCTCGAATGTCCGTATTTGATAATTTAATCGTAATAATAACATGTTTGTTATTGAAATATGTTGGTAGCATAGTAAGTATGTTTATAACTACTGAAAGAGTATATAAGAAGGACTGTGATCAATAAAAAGTGATTTTCAGGTTAAGGCTAAGTTGTGTGATAGTTTTATATCGTATAGCGTGCTGAGCGAGTTAGTACTTCGCAAGGATTCCAGTTACTATACCATAGGCTGAAGAAGTAGTTTTACGGATTAACGTAAAGTTTATTATAAGTACTGAGTTCTTTTCTTGTGTCGCAAGGGTGATTGTGGCACATAAACATATATATATATATCTATGTAGAGCTAGATTTTAAATCATTTTGCAATATTACAAATGCAAAATTTCATTTCCGATGTAGTTACGAATATTTCATTATTAAATGGGTATGCTACATTGATAATTGCTACAGACTGAATATGATATCAGTAACAAGTACAGCCAAAAGGAGTACAAGTAATTTCTATGTTACCACTTGCACCATAATACCATTGTAATGTAACTAGTATTGTGATTGTAGACTGTTAGCCATGTTTAGTATAATATACGGTAGATATTTATCCTAAGAGATATTTAGTAGCTATAACTATAGACTGTAGTGATATAGACTCTATGCTAGAGTACAGATGACTATATACAGTAAGGTGTTGAATTACTAATAAGGCTACAGTTAAAAATAGAACTGTAAATCATATATTAGGATATGGTTAATTCATTGTACTTTGGCTGGTGTGAATAATGTCTACGTAAGTACTGTAGTCGTATCCATATTGGATTAATGATGGTCCGCAGTAGAATAGTCTTACTAAGAATAATTTAACTATGTGTAAAATAAGGTAAAAGGTTGCCACGCGGATTGTAGCTGCGAATGCTACGGAAAGTATAAAAGCATGCAACTTTAGATTATTGTCTTTAGTAGTAGTATTCGGCTAGAGTAGAGCTGTATGTAGTTAATCTTTGTATAAGATTGAATAAAGCCCTTATTTTTCTAAAATTTGGAATCTCGTGATTGGTATATATCACAACCATTCCACCAGAATTAAAGTCTCTATGCAACATGAGGCAGAGTAGCCTGTCTTATGGCCGTACTATCGCAGGCAGTGATTCGCGAGAAGAATATTAGAGAAATTATTTAAAATTACTGTAGACCATTTTTACGGATGAACATTATAATTAGTTATGCGAATATAATTTTAACATTCCTATTCTGTAGCCTTTCTATTTATAAAACTTGATCTAAAGTTAATGATTTTACGTAGGACTCGGTGCTAGCGATCAAGGTTTATTTGAGTGCTATAAAATTTATTACTTTAAATAAAATACGTTCAAATTTAGAAATTAAATAATTATTATCATCGTACAAATTACTTTTAGAAACTATTAATGGTGTATTCTACAACTTTTCCTAAGCTATATGTTCGTACTATTATGAACTACGTGAACTTAATTAAAATAGCAATCAATTAGTTGACAATAATATTGCTTTTATTACTTATCTACTAATTAATACCCATTTATTCGACATGATTTTTCTAACTTGACAATAAGTATAGGCTCCATTATAAACCTTTTACTGTGTATTGATAAATATTATGCTATCTAATTATTGAACCATTGGGCTGATTAAATTCATCTTTGTTCTATTTGATAAATTATTAGATTTGTTAAAGGTTAAAAGAATTTATGTAAGGTATTTTTAGTGTAATTGCTGTGGTAGCAAGAAAATGATTCAAGTTATTTCAAAATTCTTAAACGAAAACATTTCGCTAGTCCATAATTTTAGTCGATCTTTGCATGTCATTTTTGATGAAATAATCTATTTAAAGTTTCATGTTATTTACACTTCTTACGTATAATTAAAAGTAGCGGCTAATTTTTTTGATTCAGCTTTAATTTAAAATGGATAATAGGCTAATTACAGTACCTATATCAATTGTAAAGTCGATTAACCTTTATTAATAGACAAGATTAAGTCATAATAATATGTAATTGCAACAATGCTATCCAGTCTCATAAAGGGTCGAAATTTATATATTGGCTCGCCAACAGTCGTTGAGGTAAAATGCAGCAACTATTTCAGATAATAGTTCTATTCTAGCTATTTATTGATTATTAATTAAAATCCGGCAGAGACGGTTACATTCTTGATTTGTTATTAGTCGTTAACATGAGAATTAAATCATAGAATTTTTTATTACTTGCTTTTCGGTCACTTAAAAATTGATCTGCTGATTTAATTTGCATCTATCATTCTGTTACGATTTACTGTTGCAGTGAGGCAGGATTACAAGGCTTCGCACAATAGTTTCGATCATAAGATTTTATGGAAAATTGCTCTTCTTTTCACATTTTATGAGGAGGTAAACAATTAGAACACATATAGCGAAATTTGATACCTTTGTAGTAATAGCTTAATCAAATATATTAACTTATTCTGAAATAAAATAAAGCAAATATTGTCTTGCAGCTCAGAGTATTCAATAATAACTGAGTTGGGCTAGCTGTCAAAGTATTTCAGCTAGAGATTCGAATGAAATATACCCCAAACAATTAGCTTAATCATGTGCGATACAATGATTTACCGTATACTTTATTCATTGAGTTGATTACGATAGATTATAATAAAGAATGTAGCTTAAATATTGAGAACATTACGATATAAATTATTGCTTTAATTATATAACAGTTTAGGATTTAGAAGACTGAGATTAATCTGAAACTGCAGAAACTAAATCAAATAGCAGGAGCTTAAGAGCAAAGTCTAAACTAACGAAATAGTCACAATTATTACACTACGCACATATGCTTTTATTACGAGTTTAATAATTTAATATATTTTTTATCGTAAATTTAATTAGCAGATTAAGTAGTAAGCAATACAAAAACAGGAATTTTCATTCGTAAAAATTGTTTGATAGGAAATGAATTAGTAATTAAGAATAAATCGCTTATATGAAAGATATTTTGGTTTTCCATCATTTAGAGAATGAATTGGATCTATATTTTAATATTTCATACAATACTCTTCAATTAATCGGCTCTATAAATCGCGGCTATGAATATTCACTGAAACTATTAATCAAAAAATTTTGCCTTCATCTTAAAGCAATCATCGTGCCAAATAATAAGAATAGCAATAACAAAGCTTTGATTTGCATTCAACATATTGAATACTGTAGCTATGCGTACGTTTATTTCGCTTTATTCTAACTAGCTTTTCTATTTTGGCTTTAATTAGATTAAGCGATCTAATTCCGTTATATTATTCTCTAATTAGAACATAAATATATATATATATATATATAGGATGCAGATTCTTTAGATTGCCCATTTTGTCACATTGAGATACTTCATTCCAGCGTAGAAAAGTATTCCTTCTTTGCCTTAATTAGTATAACTAAGCAATATATTACTTCAAATTAGCCTGCAAGTCTAATTATTTTCCACCGCTCTTTCCGAAAAAGGATTAAAATGGCTAAGAGTTTGAAGATAGACTGGTGGATACTGTTGAGTATCTGTTGCGTATTTGTGTCGGGTAAGAACTTTCTGTATTTCTTTCAAATAGCAAATTTTTTATAATAGGTGTACCTGGAAAAATAATCGGAAATGAAATAGTAATCGGTTAAAGCAGATAGTAAAATGAAAGCTTCATAAATTTAGAACAGATTGACTTGTAACAGTCTTCTACCAAATTGCATATTTTATACTTTAAAATATAAAATGGATAGGATTAAATTGTGATGATAGCTTTGTCCGCTTTGAATAGTATGTGGCTTATCCAAGCAGCCTTGTCAACCAAATCAGAGTCTTATCAGGCGTTGGTTAAATAATTCTGATGTTGATCTTTGTCACTGCCGCAGTCCAGAAGTTACTCAGATTGAAGCTAGAATTGCTGTAAGTGATGAGTTATATGGAGCCTATCTGTAGGAGAAGGTTTTAGTAATAGTGGTAAAATAACTTAAAGACCACATTTTAATTCCAATTTGATAGATATTAGCATTATTAAATACCTCTAGTTAACTAACTTACGGGTAGATAGCCTGTTTCACAGTAGGAATGTGCTTTATTAACAAAGAGATGAATAAATCATACGCTAAGAAAAGTACATCAGAATTGCTGGTAACCGCGTGACAGAAATGATCATATTTTAAAATTTTGGTATATTTAACTGGTATATATGATTTGACCCTCATTTTAGTTTTATTGCTAGATGACACGCTTCTTGAACTTTGGATAAATAGCATAAAATTAAGAAATCAGTTTCTTAATGCAAGAATTTTTAAAAGCACCGTACTGTAAATGGTTTAGTGTATAATATGCAAATCTTATATACCTTATATTACAGTTTTATTCAACCATCAGCCGATAAATCTCCTGCGATCAGCTATTACTCAAAGCGGGTATTTTAGTCTCCAAATAAATTTATCATGCAACTTAGTTGGATTATAGGTCTTGATTTAATCATTACACGTCCATCAATTACCTCATGCTAGTTAATTTGAATAGATTTATAAATTAAGATTTTAATAATATCCTACCCTTAACTGAGTGCTAATATTGACCTATAAACTTATGTCGTTATTTAGTGTTATATTAAGTGTAATAATTAGAAAATTTAGATAGCTAGGCTACATATGAAGTTTGAAAATTAAGACTTAATACTGTACTTGTTTTATCTTAACTATATGCACCTAAGTGCGCACTAATATCGACGATAGACTTATGCTGGTATTTAATGTCGATTAAAAGTTAATAATTAGAAAAATTTACGTAGATAGGGTTCGTTTGTAGGTTAAAAAATAAGATTTTGTAATATTCTTGTCGCATTTTAACGACATACTATTTTTAACTGAGTGCTAATATTTACTGTAGACTTATATCGATATTAAGTGGCCTGTTAAATTTTAGTAATTAGAAAATTTAGATAGATAGGCTTTATATGAAAGTAAAGCTTGGTATTTGGAAGTTTTTGTACTTGAATTTAGTACCATAACGGTCAGATAATGGGATAACTTGTTTTACAGTGGCCTGCATGTATTGAATAAATAGTCTCATGCTTTCATGCCACATCTTACTAGTCTAGCTAATAATTTACCAGTACTTATACTTGGGAATACCATACAATGATCTAAATATCTGAGAACAGTCATTTTCACCTTCTTTCGTTTTAAATTTAATTTTCGGTAATTTTTTGTCTAAATAATGGTTTGAATTGCTACTGAATACTTATACTTTCTATGCCTAATTTTTGTAACAGCTGCTTTCGAATAAAATGCCCTGCTTTTGATAATTATGTGCATGTGGTATAGAATACATCGAGAGCGATTTCGAGATTTCAAGCACGAAAGATTTGATAGCTAAACTGCTAGAATATAGAAAGTTATTTAAATTCGAAAGATATAATATTTAATAAATTTGTTAAGATGGAGGCAATATTTTATGAATTAAGTGATACGCCTCTGATTGTATTTGAAAGACTTCAGATCTCTGCAGCCAAATTAGATCTTTTCAATAGAAATGGGAAAATTCACCCTACGTGAGGTGATTTTAACTCTTACACATTTTTTCTCAGCAATAAATATATGATGAAATGTTTATTTGTCTTATTAAAATAGTTTCGAATGATCTAACTTATTCAGAGTGAAATAGTATATTCTGGGAAAGATATCCATAAATAGCTATCGTAATTGTGTTGATTAATCGAAAAGATTCATTTAAATAAACTTTGACGGCCTGCCTGTAATCGTGGTAATATATTTTAATATTTATTTATTGCAACATATAAGTAAAAAATTAATTAGATTAAATATAAGTCTATTATCCTGGTAACATCTGCTGTCTGATTCAAAAGTCATCAGTATCCAGAAATAGAGTGACATAAATCATCGTCTTTTAAAATTATTCCGGATACTTTCTGTTTGATTGTCACTTGACAAATTAAAAGCCTTTGGTATCAAAGTGATGTCAAAATTAGATTTTGTGGGTTTTATTTGTTCTATGAAAAGACGAATGGGGATCTCATTTTAAAACTATTTAGAAGCCTATTAATTTTTCATTTCTGGTATAATTCTACCGTCTAAAATTTCTATTATATATTTACAATAGGCCTTGATTTTGTTTTTATTAAAATAAAGAATGTCCTTAACAAGGGATTTAACAAATACTCGTACATATTTTCGTCTTTAAATTTGACAAATATTTATCGCTATAGCCATCATGTATGAGAGGTATCCATATTTAACAATAGGGAAAATCAAAATTTAATTGGTCATGTATTGGCAATCGTAATTAAATAATAAATAGTACTTCTATTTCATATAGCTTCATGGTCTGATTTAAAATTTATTGGTCGCCATTAGTGAAAAAGACCGATGGCCATGGAGATTAGAAAGCTTATTTTGGGATTATTAGATAGTCATGAGCTGCTTCATAAATTAATTATGCCAACAGTTTTGCTAGCCTTACACTTTATTGCTATATATTTCTTGTAACTATGCATTTATAGTTGCGACAGAAAGTTTCATTTTAAGCTTGTAATATATTGAAGCAATATAACGAGTAATATTATTGGTAAAGTAATTCTCAAGATATTTTCAAACGATATCTAAATACTTCAAATTAGCTCTCAAATATACTTGTAAGAGTGTACAGGAGCAAAGAACTGTGATATTACCATGTTTCAGTTTGTTAACTATCCTATCCATATGTGATTTAATGTATTTCAGCAAGAATCTTGCTGTTAGTATGCATTAAAGAAGCGTAAAGCCTATTATCCTTTAGATGATACGACACTTAAACAAGCCAACTAGTAATAAAACTTAGGTTTTTCTTTATGAGTTGAGACGTAGATTTTGGGTTGCAGTTTTTATAATGCCTTGAAATATAGTAGCTTCTTTAAGCTAAGAAAGTCATTTTGCGGATAATAAAAGTAATTTACAGCCACTTCATTCGCTTTCATGACTCGGGAATAGGTGCAGGGCTAAAATTTAGCAGAAAATTTTAAAGCATCTATTTTATAATAGATTATTTTCTATTTAACATATTACATTAATTATAAAACGATTTAAGATACTAAAGTAAACCTGTATGTAAATACACTAAAGCTTTGGGAAGAAATCAATACGAATGTTATTATTATCTTTCTAGCAACTTAATTTTTTATTTCGTATTCATTTATTCATCTATTGACATAAAATACCGAATGTCAAAGTTGAATAACGGTGATAGCTAACTTTTACTGCTACTATTTTTCTTGCTTGGAGTCGAGTAAGTTTCTTGTGCGGTTATGGTCACTTTTAACAAATAATACTTTGAGTATTAGCATATTAATCACTTTGTTTCAACGTTCTGAAATTTCATACACAATTTAATCATCCTACTTAGCTTAAGCTTGGGCTACTGATCTAATGCCTAGTTTTTTCTTTTTACATCAATAGCGATCTACTATTATCAACAGCCAATATCGCCTTTAGTTATTGTGATTTGTTGTCTTTCTTTACAGAATTTTTCTCGCTTCTTTGATGAATACGACTTACTGCTGGCTTCTATGGATATCGATGAAATTTTGATGAGTCAATTTTATCAGGAAGCTTTCGAATCTTCTCATAAAGTAGCAGTTTATGTTAGTGATGTCCTTGGAATTATTGAGAGTTTGTATGAAGTTTTTATTTCCACTTTCCAAGAATTAGAACATGATGGGCATTGGATAGCTCAGGTTTGCCGATATATTTAAAAGCATTTTTGATCGTAAATATTTTTCAAGCCTTAAAAAATTCCAAAGTATTTTAATCAAAAATTGCAGCTTTAGTAGGATTTTCTTAGTCCAGATTATAAATATTTAGCTTATGTTTAATCAAGTTTATATCGCAAAACATTGGCTTTTGCTCTATTTTATCGGCGGTTTACTAAGAATCTATCGGCTACATTTCCTGTGATATGAATGTTCAAAATTATTTTACGTAGCGTTTGTGTTTTTTGTAATAAAATAGGTTTAATATGGTTAATAATAGTTTATATTGATAGGTAAAAGTTATAACTTAAATCGGTATCAGATCTATAATTTTATCAGTCACCTAATTTGATCCATTTTGGATTAACAGTGTTTGTATCAAGCTGCTTATAAAGTCGCCAACGTAACGTCTTGCGGTAGTAAGGTAAGACCAAGGCTCTAGATGAAATATAGTCATCAGTACTTTCTACTGTAAAAAGTTGTGGGATTATTAGCGAAAGGTATTAATAATTGAATGGGTTGTATTTTAATCTGAATATTCTTAAGATTATATTTATGCTAACAACTTATATATATTATTTAATTAGGTATAAATCACGAGAGATTAAAATGACTATAAGAATATATCTAAATTAGTTAATAAATATCACCATGAGTAGGATAGAATAATATGCAAATGCAACATGTTTATATTTTTTGTTCTAGCCCCAAACAATAAGACCTGCAATGGAAGTGTTGAAAGAATTTATAGGAAATAACATTATCTGCTGTCAAACCTACGAGCAGGCATCAACCCTTAAGCAGTGCTGGCGAACTTCATACGGTATTGTACTACTTCATTAAGGCTAACTTTTAAAAATATGTTTTGCTTCACTTCAAGTATAGTTGTTTTACTTTTGGAATGCAATTAATGCTTTTTGAATAATGTCGCAATGTGAAATCGACGGTTAATATAAATCAGAAGATTGGAATTAACTTACTTCGTGGATAGTAAATTAAATAAGGCAAATTGCACGCTAATAAAATTGAATTAGCCAAGAAATCTTTAAAATGATGCAGACTCACGTATGAGTACGTTAGTAGGCGCAGAAATGATGCCAATAATCACCGAGTCATGCTTTCTAAAGAAATTATATTTTAGTTGTACTACTGGATAACTGTGTTTTACACTAATAAACTAAGAATTAAAAAATTAGTATCTTTTTTCTTTCAAATGACCTATGATGTTATAGTTTTAGTACCGATAGGATACCATAACTAAATTTAGAAGTTGCAAAAGTATCGTATTATCTTTCTTTCAAATAATCTATAATATTATAGCTTCAGAACCGATAGGGTTCCATACCTACCTTTGGAACGTACTAAAGTATCAAACGCTTGGATATAACTCAATAAATTATTATATCAGATTGAATGAAATTGAACAATGTCCAAAATCATTAAACATTCAAATAGGGAATAAATATGTCTTGATTTACTTTGCATCTACTTTGCCAATTTACTAAATAGAATACAGGTATAAAGAATAGAATTATAGGCGTTTAAGTCCGTAAAAGTAAATGTTTAACAATGCGATACCATTTTTTATTTTAAAATATAGGTCATAAAGTCAAGGTAAGCTCACAGGATCGAGCTTTAATATTTCTAAAATATCATTCTTTTTAATTATTATTTACTCAGAATAAAGTTAATAACTTGCCCATTGGTTTATGTCTTCAATTTAGGAAAATAATGAAACTAATATGAAGAAGTATGATATCAATTATAATTCGAAACCATTATTATTTCAATGGTTTAATATAGCTATGGGTTGGATCTCCATTACTTTTATTTTGTTGACTTGGGGCTTTGTTATAGCAGCGAGGTAAAAGAATGCATTCCATAATTTTGAGTTAAAAAATAACAATTGGTATTTAATAATTTCTTTTTAATGACACTACATCTAGTAATTACATAATACGAATCCGCTAATTTTAAGCATTTAATTTGAGAAACAAGTGATTTGTGCAATTATGTTTCTGTATAGAGAAGTTCTGCATGATATAACACCTTAGCTTAATTAAGGTAGTATTATTTATTACAAGTCGTAGTTAGCAGTCTATCAGGACTGGTAACTTATAGATTTTATTGAGAGCTTTTAGCTTTCTTCACGAATTGATTAACAGTAGCAGCATAAGACTGGCTATAATTTAAGGTCGATATAATATTGACGTATCTTCGCTGATCATGGATTTTTTAATTCTATGGATTTGAAATAACACGTTTAGAATTAGCTTCGAAATATTTAAACGATTATACCGGTATTAATATTTTCATTATAATAGTTTAGTAACTTAGTAGGTTTTGTTGAGAGTTTAGCTTCTTCGCGAAATAAATAATTTTAACAGCACAAGACTGGCAGCAATTTAACGTCGATAATTATATTGATACACATACACTGATCATGAAGTTTTAATTTTATGAGTTTTAAATTGCACGATTAAAATTAGCTTAGAAATATTTTATAGATTCAACTCGTATTAATAATTTTGTTATAGTAAGTCTAAATAGTAATAGCAAACTGAATATGATATTATGTTATGTGCAACAGTTGATCTAATCTAATTCCAGCTAGATTGATATTGATATCATACATAATGTTGTAAATTCTTGTAAGAATGAAAGTATGCTTACAAATCTCTCCATCACGATCAGGGTATTTTAAACGTCATTTACCTTAGTGACCAGTTCAATTGTGATCTTCCATACCTTGACGTGCATAAACAATTAATCAATACTATTATTACTGTGTGTTTACGATTTAATTTTTTGAAATCGGCTATAATTAACGATTGCAAGTAATCGTAATAATGAATACAAATCATGTTAGGAATGTATTGCTTGCTTGCAACTGCATAATTTCTTCCAAATGACCAATTTTTTTTACGACAACATTTTATGCTTAGCGTCTCGCTTACAATGAAATGGAAAGTTCGATGTAATATAGCTATAGCAGTCATTCTCACCGATGTGATGATTGCTGTGGTTATTCCATTTCTACCAGCTAAAGAAAAATCTGTAAGTAAGATATCGCATAATGAACTATAATTTAAGTTGAAGTTTAGTCTTTACTGGCAATAAAAATAGTTTTATTAGTTTTAATTTTTGCCTGTATTCGGAAGTAATTTGAATATCTTCGTATTTCCCTGCGTTATCCTCAAGTTAGAATGGTCTCTTAAATGTTATTTTAATTCCTGTTATTATAGAAGTCGAACTAATGTTTTTGTTAATTTTTTATCTATCGATATTAGCCACTGTGCATTGCTAAAGGCATAGTTCTACATTATATGATTCTGGCTTGTTTTACGTGCATGTTTGTTCAATGCCTTCACCAATATCGTCACCGAAAGAACAAGAATGCAAATGATAGCAGAATGTGGATCTTTACCTACTTCCTTATTGGATGGAGTATGTTATCTAGATATGATTCTTAATTAATTTAAACTTTAATGTGATTCAGTATTTGTAAGATTCATCCATTCGTATTGGCAAGAATTTCAATGTAATTGCTCGTAGAAAGAAATGATTATACTCGCATGTCATTTATGACTTAATTTAGTTTAGACCTTGGATAGAGTAAGATCACGATTCAACAAGATTTAAATTTATAAGTGACAATAACTAATACTATCGAGCTGATGTATCAATTTCTGACATTAGATGGAATGGAATCCCGAATATTAGTACATTGTATGCCGTTTTTACGACGTTAATCATTTCCCTCTTCTTAATATCAGTGCTTCCTACCGTACCGATTACTGTTGCCTCGCTGGTGGATCCATGGATATATCACCCAACTTTAAAAGTTTTTGGTCAAAATATGTCAGTTAAATTATCTAGTTGTTGTAATTGTTTCATTTCTATTATGTCTAAAATATTATGACTGTATAAAAATTCGTAATGATACGAAGTAGAACTGCAACATTGTTATTTATTTATAACAGGTGTTGGCTGCATGGCATCAATAACTTTTATTTTGTGATTCCATTGCCAGCTATAGTGGTAGTAAGTATTATTTTGCTTTTGAGAAACTAACCAGAAATGCTAACACAATTAATCACCTATTATTAACTTGACATTACCTAGATTTCTCTTCCATTCTTGATGTACAGTACTCAGGATGAATTGAAGGAATTAAAAATTAAAGATTGGTGTTGTAAAGACGGGGAAGATAGCAAAGAATTTCACGCGTTCAATGCTGAAGAGCATAGAGCTCGAAAGTATGTAAATTATGATATAGCAATTATATATTTATCGATATTGGTAAGAACATTTTGATTACTAAATTGATTATTACTAAGCTCTTACATTATATTCACGAATTAGATTGAGGGTCCAAGAGTACGAGATTGCAACCATGATGATTATTATTCTGTTAACATGGTTATTTTTCTGCAACTTCATTTCGTACAATCACACTGTTAGTGGTTTTGTCTTTGTTGCTTTAAACTGCTTGCTGAATTTTCTTGTACTTCTATTTTATTGCATCCTGGATAAACAAGTAGGTGAACTGATGCAAGTATACAAGTAGAAATTCATGAATAATATCAAACATTTGCTACTAGCTGTAGAACTTCTAAGATCCAAGTGTCAATTTCTTCCACTAGATTAAAAAAGGATCATCATGTTTCCAAACGAAGAAAAAACTAATTGTAGAAGACAAGGTAGATATCAATGAAGCCTTAGAGGCTTTGGATGACTTCAATTTCTTTCCATACTAGTCAGTAGCACTCTACTGATGGTAGAAATGATACCTTTGGCGTTTTGGAATAAAAAAGAAACTTCGTTGAGTAACATCAAAGTACGAGTAGTAGTCTTTAACCGCAAGTGGAATTTAACAATAGAAAGTAAATGGAAAAGTCGATTTGACCATAAAATAAATGTGACATCTGATAATAAAACAGATTATGCAGTAATAATTTTTGGCACGGCTAATTCGGTTGAGAAGATTGAATGATTTCTTCATCCTTATGTTTAACTGTAGTTTTTACCTGTTAGACTTAATCCTAGTAATTATTAATAGCCTTACTTACTGTTGCATAGCTCTATTAAATTAATGCGTAAGTATTGTAGAGAAGCTTTATAATCCCTGTTTCCAGGTAGATACTATTCATGTAAACCACAAACTGTTCACTGTTTCTCTTTAGAAATGTTTGCTTTAACATTTCATCCATGTAAATTAACATAAAGCAAATGCACTTAGAGTAAATACGCAATTCCATGCTCTTTCGGGTCTCATTGTTCCTGGTATGCTATTAGTATATCTAGCTATATTATCTATATTCGCTTCAAATTTCTTCAATTACTGTATCTTGTTAGTTCAATGAATTCTCTGATAGTGAAAGCATTCTATGACATTCCTTAAATTTATATCCTCATTTGAAGTCCCTGCAGCTGAATGGTATGATCTTATTCTATATAAAAGTAAAATTTACTAATTATTAAAGGCATACTTATTCTATGCTAAGGAATACAACCTTTAGCTTGTAAATCCATTTTAATTTCTTAGGTTCTGAGATTGGTATATTCTATCCTCCGTATTAGTGCTATAAATTTTAGTATACTCATATATGTTGCCATGTTACAAAAATTTAGAACATCATTTTGAGTTAATTAATTGTGTTATATGATTAGATAGAATTCATTAATGCGTTGTAATAAGTAAATTAATCTATTCTTCTACCTATCAGTAGTGTTATTAAATTGAAGAGCGGTTAATAAGAATGTAACGCAAGTTTTCAAGTAATAGCTAAAATTGACTAGCTTTTATTGTTATAATATTTGCTGACATCTATCTGACTACTCTTTAATTTAAAGTTACGTCATTTAATTGAAATTTCCAGTAATTGACATTTTAGAGTTCAATGTTTAAAAGATTGCCATATAATAAATTGTATGCTGCTTCCTTGGATATCTTAGTATTAAAATTTAATTTTTATGACTAGATGCTTTGTTGAAAGCGGAGGAACAAGGGTAGTCTCTCATCAAAGGAGTGATCATAAGATTAGCGAAGGGAAAAAATCATTAAATGAATGGGATTCAAAGTGAATGATTTTGTTTCTTTTGTCTATTGCCTTTACTAAATTGATAGCCAAATACCAGGGTTGTTTCAAACAAGTGATTTTATTTATAATCACTGTTATAGATAGAAATAATTGTTACTCTTATGTTCAGAGGTTTTACGGCAATTAATTTTGTTCTTTCTTATTACAAACTGAATTTAAAACGATCATTTAACTTTCATGAACCCACATTCAGGCCTATCCACCTCACAATTAGCCTATGATAGGATTTTAAGCACTAATATTTACCTGTTATTAGAAATTCGTAATAAATGTAACACAGTTCTCTTGTCAGACTAAAGCATAAAAAATCGTAATTTTATTAGAAAATCAGCTAATTTATAAGCGTTTACGTAAAAATAAATCAAAATAATTAGATAACATTATCAAAATATGCAGTTATCTATACCAATAGGTAGAGTAAGATAGATAAAGAATGGATAGCGAATTTAATGTAAGCCTATCTAATGATATCGTCATTGTGGCTCCTATTTAAAGTTGCGTATGTATTTACTCGGTATAGCTACAAGAAATATAATATAATTGGATAAAAATGATAATTACTTACTAATTTCTGCTCTTACGAGTAAAATTTGGGTGAGGTAGTTACAAATCTGGTTGGAAGCGCATTTGTCATTAGGCTATCGATAGTACACGCTTTTCCTTACATAAAAATATCAATTGATGAATATTATGAAAAACAAATTTACCTGCCGCAATAAATCTGGCTGGCAGCGCATTTGTTATTACGCTATTGTTAGCATACCCATTTTTCTAGAATAAACTATCAATCTATAAAATATCACAAAGTGCAAATTCTTTTGCTGTAAGTTCAGCTACATAAAATAAATCAATAAGGCCAGCGAAATATTGTTAAGGTATCACATTATCTCCGAAAATATGCCGTTATAAAATAACTGAAATTTAATATCAGCAATTTCTTGCTGAGTGATTAAAAAAAATAATGCAATGTATAGCTGCGAGATATAAAACTGCCTAGATAAAATACTAAAAAAGTCAGCGTATTTTGTATTCTAACATTATTATGGACAGGAAATTTCATCAGCTTTGATTTACCGTCTCTATTGCTTTATAAACAATGTATTCACGATCATTAGTTCGACAAATGAACGATGATTGATTCTCGTTGCCTAATATTTCGCTATATTCATCATTAATAGGTGATTGTATAACTTGCAATAACTGTATTTTGCATTTATCGTAAATATGAATTTGACTCTTATCTTTGATAAATGCTAAACGCTGACTAGACCATAAGTTGCTAATCTTTTTAAGATCCAGAACAAATTCGAAATTATAGTGTTTCCCATTGCTACAGCAGTATGTTAAAATTTTAGTCATGTTGTTGGCTACAGCTAAAACCTGGAAAAGTTAACACCGGTAATACGTCTGATGAGCGATTGATCCAAATCTGAGACAAGAATAGCTATAAGAACATGATTCCTTACCAGAATATCGTTTTCTTTTTGGATGATGAAATATTCTGTGCAGTGAGTAAGAGAATATTCCTTTTCAAATTGCTGTTGAAGCTAATTGAAAAAATGGTTTAACACATCCATTTAAAAGCTAGATTGCGGTAATTTCTTAGATATATTTAAAAAAGTTTTAAAGCTCCGTACACATTAATGGACTTACAATATCATCGATGTTGCCTTCAAGGTCAAAATCTATTGTTAAAATATCATGATCGTCCTTAAAAGGCGAAAAATCGACATCAATTTCATCGGACAGTTCATTTCCATGTATAACTAGTTTGCTGATGACGCCTATATCTTCTCGTTGATATTTGTGAGATTTATATAGTTTCTCATTGTCATTTGTTTGATTTAGCTTGTATATCTTGAATAATCAAAAGTAAAGATAAATGGCATTTCAATATTGGGGGTATACACGTAGAATTGATGTTTGCAGTATCTAAATTTTTATCAATAGGATGTATGACATATTGCAGATTTTAGTTTATTAAAATAATACTTACATCAATGGTGCTTTGCGAAGTATTTTGACTATCTTGGATATGCTGATGAGTAATTAAGCAATTGTCATCGAAATAAACGATCTGGATATTTTCGTACTTTGCTTCTTTGGTATCAGAATAGATGGAACTAGTTTCGTCTTGGCAATTAGCTGTAAATATGATCAGTCTATGATTCCTTTGTATATACTAAATACAGGAGAAATAAAATAATAAAAAATGAGGTTAGTATACAACGATTATCGTATGGAAGGAATGGGGAAATATTAAATATCTACAGAACTGTTAAGATGAGAAATATCAATATTAATAATACCTTAATTTCTATTATGAAAATGATTATATCATCGCTTTCTCTGTATCTAGATGCCAGTACATTGAATTCAGTATCTTCTATTTGATAAGGTGTAGGTATATTATAATCGCTAGGGTTTATGCCATAAGCCATAGAGTAATTGATAAACCTTTCGTCTGCTTGATTGTTGGAGATTTTGTTAAGGTAGCGGTACTACATGGAATCATATCGAACAAGATGGATATTCAATTCAAAAATTAAGCAAAGTTGCCTTTTCGTGTACCTTAGTAATTTTCTTATTTAGTGCATAATCTGAAAATATGAAACCTCGCTTTGCCAGGCTGAAGTAAAATAGCTTTGGACAGCTAGTTTCCATTTATGACTGCTGTACTCTATTCTTCACTTACATTTGAAATTTTAGCTAAGGTAATATGCCAGTGTTCTGTTCCTAATCCTGATTCGAGTCTAAATTCATTTAAACAGTCGGCTGATTTGCACAGATCATTTCGAAATAAGATAATTGACTTATAATTTTCGTGTAAAAAACAGCGATTATAATTCTGCTGAAGTTTGCCCATTAGCGTTTGCTCTAAATTTTCTCCTTCGAATAACTTGAGTCAAAAATAAATGGACTAATTTATTATTTAAAGCGAAGCAATAAGATTATCTGCATAGTTTATGTTTAAGAATTTATATTCATTTAAATATTTGATATGACAATGATATTTGTCTATTATTTTCAAATTATTTAGTAAACAACCTTTAAATAGCAACATTTTTCCTTTTGATATTTAATTAATTGCAGTGCCACTGGGACATTGTCACTAAACACATGGCTGGTATCGATGATGATGTGATCAGTTCTGATGAATTTTTCCGATTCCAGATCAAAGAGAGGTAGTTTGGCTTCTTGCATTTGAGCATCATTGTCTAGTTATAGATTACAATATGAAATGGATTAGTTTGTTTATTGATGAAAGATTGCGATCAATATACATCATTACCATTTATAGTAAATCGATATAGACGTTGCTTAGAAACTTTGTCATAAGCAAATAGGCCGCTCATGCCAGGTACGAATGTGATATCGTGAATTTTTTCTACGCAATAGATGGTTTCATAGTAGCAAATGCTATCATTTTGGAGCTTAATTATCTATTCGAAGCAAAGAAGTTGTCCAAACATGAGCTGTATAGCTTGAACAAGTTCAAGTATTAAGAACCTAAGGTGAGTAGATAGGCATACATATAATGTAATCTATCGAAATCGCTGATAAAACTTACAACAATCTTCCAGTACATTAATACTGCTATAAATTGTTGATCTGCTGAGATAGCAATGCTTGCAATGTTATCTTCACTAAAGAAGACTAATTTAAATTGGTCTGTATATTTTTCCGTCAAGTCCATTGGTTCGCCAGGTTGGTGCTGAATTGGTAGATATCCTAGCGCTTTCTTATATCTTACGATAATCAGTTTCTTCTTATAAACATAGTCGATACTTCGTAATCGCTCGCCTGCTTCAGTATTTGTGTCAAGTCCTGCTGTGATTTTGATAATAGATTATATTAGTATGGAAATATTGTTATATGATTCAAGATCTAGCTAATAAAAGTACTGAGATGTATATTCAATAGTTTGCAATCTCGGTCCGAGACTCTACATGATTTATAACTGTAACAGGGTTATGAATGCTGTCGTGTTTTTACTACCTTTACGAGGGAAGTGCAATGGCAATATTAATCTTGTGGAATTTGCTAAATTTGACTGTAGATCTGCCTCGTTTGTTGAGCGATTCTTTGATATATTTCCTAATATGATCCGGCATTTTGGAATGCACTCATGGTTGTGTTTCTTGTTTTGGTCATCAGTCTGGAAATTTTCAATGATATCTTCGCCCCAAAGTAAGGGTCGATAGGCATTCCTTTTGAGGTTGGATACAAATTTAATACGTTCTATCCACATTGAACGCAACTTGAGTTCCTGCCGGAATTCTATTTGCGAGTCATGAATTTTCCAAAGCTATTTAATTAATAAAGGATTTCTTCGATTAACAGACCTCCACATATCCATAAAAATATTGTTAATTAAAAATAATTTGCAATTCTTCTCAAGCATGTAAGTCAATGCTACGGATATTAAGTAATCTAAACTTATCGCTGATTGATTAAAATAAACACCAGAAAATTGTATTTCTTACTAGAGGTTCTTTTCTGCCATCCACAGTAATTAATTGCGCTACTATGGGCTGATTTTTTAAAGGAATAAATTCTAAAGGGAGAAATTCTAATATATTGGATTTCCAGTCTGGGGTCACATTTTCATCTTTTTTAAATTGCAGACGCTTCATGCCATTTTTGTCATAGACCTCCCATGTATGTACCTTTTCGAACGTAATAATAGTTTAAGTATCTGCATAGATTAATCAGAGTATAGAATTGTATAGATAAGTGGCTAATTTTTATCACCTTTTTGTAATGAAGATTAATTTTTAAAATCCTTCATCAAGTTTTGTATTATAATAAGTATTGTAGCCTTAAAAAATAGACTTAAATGGTTTAACTACAGTTGGTTTTTCTTAGTGTCGTAGTATATTAAATCTGACTTCTTAATTCGGGTTAAAACTTAGGAATATTCTGTAGCATAAATGTGTTAAAAATTATACAATGTTAGATCGTAACTTATGTGATACGTTTAGTCGCATATAACTTATGCTATAACTATGATAAAGCATATAGCTTATTTTGATCGTGAAACAAAGTAGAAATAATATTACTTAGCTATCGAGTATAACTTATAAACTCAAATATTTTGATCTAGCTTCTAATTTGTAACTTTTGATCTGTTTTGGTATTTTTATATAGTTATATATTATATACCGTCGAAAAATTTAAATGGTAGTAACAATTATGGTTGTTATTAATTTAGTAATATTCGGAAATCTGAAGTATAATTTATCTGATCATATGTGTTTAATTGATAGTTTCATTTAGAATACTTTACGAGTAGAATAGTAATTTGATAGTCTGATACCACCAACTACTTTGTATAGCGTATAAAGGTGCTTCAGTTCAGTAGAAAGTAGTTCAAGTTTAGTTCCAGCTAGCAAATACTAAAAAACTCAAAGTTCTGTGAGTAACTTTTCGGTAGTTTCGTTGGTTGAAGCAGTAATTCTGCCTGTATCGTAATTCCTTTAAGTGAATTACAATGACTGCGTAGTAGTATCCTATTACTTACAACTGCAATTAAGCGAAAATCATTACATGAATTTCTAATTTGTTTAAGTCAAAATAAAGCAATATTTTTCTCTAGTTTATATAAAATTTTGGAAGTGATTGTTTGCTCTTTGCAAAGTGAATACTTTTACCATTATTACGTCTACCTTTCTGTTTGTTCTTAATATCTCTTCAGCCTTTTTTATATAGCTACGATATTTATCTCAATATTCCTAGTATTTATTCGAACACAATAGATTGCATCCATTTATAATTAATAGATTTTAATGTCCATATTTCTAACATAATCACAAGATCTCAAATAAATCGTGTCTAAACTTGTCCGTTTACATTTATGCCAAATGTATCAAATGCGAGTATAATTGCTGTTTTTATTCTCAAAATTTGAATTCGCTAAATGGATCATCTACGATATATATTAGTTATTTTATGACTAAGATTTGACTTCACTCTTCAATTTTGTGAGTAGATGTTACGATACTAGTCGTCGTATCTTGTAAATAAGTTTGTTAGTCTCCATAAAATTATTTATTACTTGAAGTATTAATTGAAAAATCTAGATTAATCATTAGCACCAGTAAGAGTTGCTATTAATTAATGTTGTTAATTAATATAGTGGTGCTGAGCCTCTAGTTGTTAATTAGCTAATAATGGTGATAATTGATTGATGTTGTTTACACCTTGACTCGAGTCGTACTGAGTCATATAATAATTGTAATCCTGTTTCTCATAATGAGTGAGTAAATTGTATTATATGTGTTTCTTTACTTTGCACCACCTACATGTGGCGACTGTATATAAGCCCGAGCAGAAAATATATCGCTCAGTTGATACTTCTCTAGTGTACGACAAGGTACTCTACTCTCGTGGCATGACCAGAAGTAAAAGCTCATAAACTAATCTTAGAACCAGCCGCTTATTATACTTGTGAGGCAGTTGTTAGTCTTGCTTACAGTATCTCTCCATAGTTAGTTGGTGACTAAGTAGCTAGTAAGTTAGTTAATCACTCACATTAAAAGAGAGTAGTCAATGGTATTACTCGTGTGGGTGACTGTAGACGTGTAATTACTTTGACATATTGACAATCTCAAATCGTCGGCACTTTGAGTTGTAGTCAGTAGGGCTACGTCGAGAAGGAAAGATCTGAAAGTGGCTAGTAAGATAAGGTTTTTAATTTTTCAAATTTAGACCGATAACAGTCTTCATAATTATATAGTAATTAAAATTGACGATTTTGATGGCGAGCATAATTGTATAATCGTAATAAATTGATGTTATAAAATTATGAAATCATGGTATTTATATCTCTAATTTATTGGTTATTGAATTAATTCAGAGTTTTTTCTGCCAGTCATGCCATTCTAAAATCTCAAACAGTCACAATATAAATGCACATGCCATAATGCAAGTTTCAAATTTCTGAGATCAGTTATGTGATAAATCAACTAAAAGACAGTCATTTTACCTTCTGTTAATGCATTATATGAATAAAGCAGATAAATTCTTACAAACTATTGATGGCTAATATCATTTCATGTATATCACGCAAATAATTTTATGTTGCTATTAAAGTAGTACGTTACTAGTTAAGTAATCATTAATTGATGAATAATGAATACCTTAGAGCAGTCTAAGCAAGGTTATATGCCATACTTAATTTAGCTAGGCGTGTAGTTACTGCTTTATTAGTAGAATTATGATATAAAATACAAACTGTTACGAGTTAATTCACTGTACAGTACTGTAGATTGAAGGGTATACTAGTCTATAGTAATATAATCGAACCGTATATGGACGGAGGACAAGCGTTTCGACACCCTAAGTTCCTAAATATCGACCTATCTATTTAGTAATTTTAGATATCTATCAGCATAACTTGAAAAATATTGCAAAATAAGTATTCACGCTAATTGACATTAGAATTCACTGTAGAAGTCTATTTAAGCCAGTGTGGTCATAAAATAAAAGTATTAATTGCTTAAGAAGCGTTCAGGGGTTGTAACGAGAAGAAAATACATAGCAATTAATCAGTTGTCTACAGAGTACAGCTGAGAAATCGAGTTCTCATATGTCACTAGCACAGAGACTGAAAAATACTGGAAAGTAGTTTCGGTTATTGTATCTACGCTGGAGTTCTTTGCCACAAGATAGCGCTAACTGCAGCATATGAGTGCTTTATTGCTCTGACATTGTCGTATATTGAAAACTAGTGGCTTTAATAGTCTCCGTAATTCTTATATAGCTTATTTTGGCGATTTGCTTATATGTTCAGATTCAAGTTGGAGTGCCATAACACCAAAAACATAAAATGTCCTGAATTTAATTTGCAGTATAATTGCTGTTGTTCTAGTTATTCAATTGCATCTCATTTATTACCTGAGATATGTGCATTAAGAAAGCAAGCCAATTTCCATCTGCTGAAATTTTAACTTCTTTAATATTTCTTTTGGAGACTGGCAGGTCAAATTTAATTTCTCCAGTATCATAGTCTTGTATCTGAATGATTGATGATATTTTATAGAAAGAAGATTATTCAACACCTATAGCTGGAAATATTATACCTATGAAAATAACGTAAGGAATATTTATGAATTATTACCTCTTAAGAGCTTAAAAGACTTACCTTGATGGCAAATTTTGCATCTGTAATCTTTCGTGCATTAATAATACTCAAGCCATCTTCTCTGACGCAATAGCGAGGTATAGTATCGGATTGACTCGTGCCTATTGTCTTGGATTCCATCCAGTTAGACGTAACTGTTTCTTCCCTTGTATGTCTAGTTGATGTTAACACATTTGCCTTTAGTTTCATCCAGAATCGTTATAAGTACTATTTTTATCCCTATACTGAGGTAGTTACTTAGTAAATCGTCTCACTATTGCGGCGCATTAAATCGTTCATTACTTAATTTTTCTTATATTCCCACTTTGGGTTTCATTTATCGTCTCTAAATTACCGACTAATAGCATTTGCCTATCCAACGCCAATAAGTAAAATCTTTGACACCACTAATCCCCTCAGGTTTCGTACCACCATCTTCACTCTTACTACTGTTAAGCTTAATTTCTTACGTGGACATTTTCACAAATAACTCGTTATTAGTAACTCAGTAATCGAGGCATCAAGGTTTAGTAATGAAGTTAATGTCAAGAATTTTTGTTAGATAAACAGGTGTTGCGATGCTGTCATCTTACTTTTGTAGATTAGTTTGTTGTTCTCCCAAAACTGTTTATATTTTTGTGGATTAGTTTTCCATCCTCCTAAAATTGTTTATTACATTAGATGTTAATGGAAATCTGAATTAATTGCGTTTACGATGATGATGTTCACTGCTAGTTTTAACTTAGCACCAATCCCACCCTCCCTTGAAACGAGCAGCGCGGGGGTATTTATACTACTGTTAGATGACTCTGATTATGGGTTCATTTCAATAGATCAGTATAAGATTCTTACAGGACCTTTTAGCTCCAGATTTCTTCATGTAAAACGAATAGCTCTAAGGTAGTAATTTCTGCAGAGTACTGATTTTTAAAAATGGTATTCCTTATATCGCTAAGGGTGGCCACTGGGCCTTTCAATTTTGATTTGAAGTAATACTCTAATGAAAATTGAATAAACATAGAATCTTTATAGAGTTTCCTACACTGCCGTTTTGATTGTTGCATTTTCTTATAACAGCACTTATCGACAGAGCAAGCTTTTCTTGCATACCCAAGCGTTCTTTAAACACATTATAATGATTGGTATAGAATTGACCACAGTGCTAAGGACATTGTACCACACTGTAGATATCTTACAGTACCTGCTAATCTTAACTTGGTATGGCCATCACCGTACATTAGTTATCATGTGCTTTGGACCATTAACTAATCTTAATATAGCATTTCATCCGTCAATGCATAATTGAAAAGTAGTATTCTACAAGCATAGCTGTGAATATAGTAGTGCCTGGCTATTACCGGGATATATATAATGTCGAATGGTAATACTATCTGTTAATTATTAACAAATGGATACATTACGGTAAACCGTCAGCAAAGCGACGTGAGTTTGTACTAGTATTGTTTATTTACTCCAGCTTGAGATGTTACGAATAATTAATGTTGTTTATAACTGGACTATATACTGAATCATATTATGATTTATGTCTTATTTCTCATATCAATGCAAGTAAATGATATAAAACTTGTTTCTCTATTTTGGACCACCTACGTGTGGGGATCGTATATAAGGCCGAGCAGATACTACGTCGCGTAGTTGCTATTTCTTTGTTGTACAATAAGGTCTATACTTTTCAGGTACTTTTGGAATAAAACTCATAAAGCTAAACAACCTTCCAGCCACTCATAGTACTTGTGAGTCTGTAGTTAGTCAAACTCACGGTATCTCTTCTTAGTTAGTAGGAGTCCTGAAGTGGCTGGTAGCGAAGTTTAGACGATCATAAAGCTGAATTTGTGACAACAGGTTACTACAAGACGTTATGATTTATAGCTCTGTTAAAAATTTTCTGCTTTGATTATATCTAGAATTGTAATAATCATAGCTAATTGTACTAGACATTACAAGGATATAGAGTTATGCTATCATTTCCTGCTTAAGCATGGTATTGTCTATTAAAGAGGTAGTAGATATGATCGCCTCCAACACAACTTGTAAATAGTGCTGCGAGTATTAAAAGAGAAAAAACTAGCGTGCACTCTATCGACATTATAAATGCAAGTTTTGGTTATTACCGTATCATTATTAATTACAATTCAGGAATCAACAGTACCACATTGATATTCTGATTTGTTTAATTTGAAATATTCAACATGGAAGTGAAAGTATTTTGATTACTTTTTCTTGCTTATAGCTAGCTCATTCTTGCTATACTTTTATGCTGTATGAAAGCAATTCCATAATAACCTCTCTAATTAGTTCTGTTTGTTACATACTATGGTAAAATTTTCATATTTTGATCTATTCTTTTGCATATACTATCTACAGTACTATAGTTACTCTATTACTGTAGGTCATGATGATCTCATTTTTAAATTTTTATTCGATTTCTTTTACAGTAACACAACAGTAACGACTGATATGCAATATAGTGATATTGTATCAGTGATAGTTTTTCTTGTATTTGTCAAAAACAGACACTTTCTATAGTCTTCTGCTTTAATATAGAAACGTACGCTATTAAGTTCAGTTTTAGTAGGACTTTCTATCCTCATGTCGTTATTTATAATCATTTATTACTATCCTAGGCTGAGATGGTATATGCTATGTAGCCTACTGTAGTGGATAACGTGCTATTTTGATGCACAAATGTCGCTATAATGCTAGGATTTTGTATACTGCAACTATGGTATACTGTAGAATTATAGAATATTACTGCATTAGCACTTGCTGAATTACGATTTTGCTATATTGGTAATATAATCCATTGCGCGTATAATGTTAAAGTATGAAGCTTTTGATTCTATTCTTTGTCTGCTTATTTTGGCATTACTATGATTTGTGATTGTAATCTAATTATTTAACATCCTAATTATATGACAACGTTGTATTTTGTTTTGTGTGGTAGATAAAATATTTACGCTGCATTGATTTATCATGATTTCTGTCTGTTGTCTTTTGGTAGTGCTACGTACTGAAATAATTAATTGCTTAGTTTTGCTTGACGTAATTGCTTCAATTCTCTGAATACATAACATGCTATATTGGTTTTCACAGTTGGTGCTTCGCTTGTACGAATTAATGTAGTCTATATGTTATGCATTTATAGTGATTTTAATTAAGTGAAGTCGTCATGCGCTTTGTAAGTATGGACTATTCTACAAAGTCCTTCTAGAAAGACCTGTGTGATGAGGAGCAATCGATTTATCTAATGAACTAATACCGGATTGTGGCTGGTATGACGAAGAATTTGAGTTAGTAAACTGCCAGAACAGGGGCTAATTTCCTTTAAGTTGCCTCCACAAAGCTTTTCTATACAGTGTATCAATCTGATCATGGCTAATTTTAGCTAGTATTTCAATCATCTATCATATTATTGATGATTACGATGCTATTTAAATCAGCCATTATTAGCTTTTGCTTACCCTGCTATCATCCAATATTTGCCGCTTTCAGAACATTGACTGGCTAGAGTAGTTGCCATGTTAGTAATCCACGTACTGTCGTTGTTAAATGCGATTATGAGTAAAAACTGAACCAAGTCCTTGGATTCTAAATCTAAATAGTATTCATGTTGACGGAGTAATGAAAGTAAGATTTTGTAATTTTCGTTGTCCTAAAAATTCCATTGCAATTTTGGGTTAGTAGTTAGAATTGTATACTTTTGCAATACTTTCTAGTATTAAACTATCCAATTCTATCCTGAAGCAGCCAAGGAAGTTAAACGTATGATAGTAAATTAAACATTTATGTACTATCATGAGCATTTAATTTATTCATATAGCTTTCACACTTGTTATTACACCGATGAGCGCATTTTATATTCGCCTAAATATACTTTCATATATGTAACTCATGGACAAGGAAAATTAATTGATGCCTATTTAAAGTAATATTTTGTTATGTTGAATTATAGCTTAGCACGTTCTTTCGGTAAATATGTTATCTGATATCTTCAAATCTATATATTATATTTTATGTTACCGTGCTGTAATTAGAGAATGTGATACATTTACGTTAGGGTTTGTGTAGAACTCAGTTTTATAATTCATACATGATTTTTAGCTTGTGTCAGCAGCTAGAAATGAAAGCTATTTTATTAGTTTCTAGTTTAAAACTATCTCACTTTTCTTAGCGCTTTTTGGAAGAAATGATTATAGTTTAGTTGAATTTACCTCTTTTCTGGAAGCTAAGTACTTGATATATTTCTCGATATCAATGCATAGTTTATAAATTGTCTGGAATACTTTCAATTTGACTGACATCCAGTAGAAATCGCTCATTAAACTTTTTAAAAGTTCATGATTATTTGCCTTTATAGCATGATCGATAATATTATGGTAAAAATATACATCGGTTTCAGGATACTGACTCCACTTTCCATTGCATCGCCACAAATAGCCTTCGAATAACTTTTTATTTAAAGATTGTTCATACGCTTCTTGAGTTTGTTCTTCGCTATTAAGCACTTGAAGATGGCTTAGCATCATGTTATGCAAATCGCAGTTATCACTTTATGCCAATCATAGCCCCATTCCAAGAGATAATATATATTAGAAAAGAAGATACATTGGACATTAATATTTGTTACTTTTAGATATATATTTAAAGATCGATTTTGGAATATTTCACGATTTATAGAAATATACTATGAATATATAGTTGGTTCTTATTGATGGCTACGATACTTAATTGGATGACTTATAATCAAGTAATTTTATCTGTTATCGATTGCTAAATTTCACCATACTGGATTTAAAAATGATAAATTATTAATTAAATGGATTATAAATGGTATAAAATATTGAGAAGATTAATAAAAAATGATTCGTTTGAGACTATTAATGCTTAGAATTCGAAAAGATGAATTACAAGCTTACTACGCCTTTTTACGTCTAGATTATAATTAGGTAATAAAGCAGATATTATTGCGTAGACATCATCCATCGAAAATGTGTAAAATGATCTACATTAGTTCTTGAATTTTAAACCTACACTACCTGTCAAATGCCAAGTCTATTTAGCAGGTAACCGCGCTAAAGCTACATATAAAAATTGATCTGCTCTACTCTAGATTGTAATATGCATTAATTTATGTCTAAGAAAACTACTTTAATCCTTGATGTTAAGGCCTTATCTAAGGCTAGGAACAGACCAACGATTTTTTGTTTTAAGGAAAGAATTAGTAACTACGTGCCTGTAGAAGGGATGTAAATAATTTATTATGGAGCCTGTCTTGTACTACGCCAAACTACTCTTTTGGTCAATTCTTTATTACATTAAAGACTAATATAGGATCAATAAAAGCTCTTTCAACTTCATTGTCAGAGCTACTACTACAAATGATTAAAATGAAGTGATAGAAGGCGATTTTAATGCCTCCTAATCAGTATTGCTGTCATAGGCACAACTATGCTACTATCAAGAACTGGCAGAATATTACATTCAGGAAATGGAAGCGTTCTAGGAATTAAATTATGAACGTTGGCATGCAATGTATAGCTCTTACCTTTCGTAATCTAAAGATTTTAGCAATGATTTACTATGAAATTTCCTCAAAATACTTTGTCCTACTTCTTTTTCACACTGCCATAATGATGTAATAGAATCAATGGATACTTTTGGGTATTTAAAGGCACCAAGTTGCCGAAATTTTTGCTCATGTTCACCTAAATTTTTTATGCTTAACTCCACTGTTCCCCATAGATTATTTTCATAATTTGGAATTTTTATGGGGCATTTCGCATCTCTGATGGAATTAAGAGCATTTTTCCACTGCTCATTGGTTCTTAAACCAAGGCCGCCAATTAAGCCAATAGCTAAAGGTAAGCCTCCGGAAGCTATAATTATATCATCAATCCACGGGTCCTCTTTGCAAATTTCGGCATTCTCTATTTTTTCATATTTCTTAAAAACCTCACGAACTTCAATATCGGTAAAACCTTCCTATAAATATAGTTAATATACCTTATTCTAAATTCACGTTCAATGTGCTATATAGCTTAGCTAATTGAGAGATGGGTAAAATTTCTGATACGTATATTTTCAATTTTAATTCTAATTATGAAATTAATTATTGCTTTAAAATGAAATACGAATAAAAAAATATTTAAACTACAATATTAAGTAATATTTAAATGTGCTTACCGATATTTCGATTGAGGGCTGCAATTTATTATTCGGATTAATTTCTCTTGATGTAGCGATTGATTTTTTAGCAAATTTAAAATAATTATAATATGAAGGATGCCAAATATCATCAAAAACAAATAGATTATTTCCTACTTTCTTATCCTCTAGAATAATTCGATAAGAATACGATTAAATTACCACATAATTGATTATGTAATGACTTTATTCTATTCTCTGATATTTTTAAGGGAAAATTAATGCTACAATAGCTGTTTGTCAAATTTAAGAATTGGTATTAAGCTGAAATTCGTTTGTTACCTTCAAAGAGTCTATTAATATTATCCAGAATGCTGGGCAATTCATTGGAAAAGACTTTTGAACCACTAAGAATTTGATACAAGCTTTTTAACTTTTCTGCTAGCTGATCTTCATTTATTTTACCTAAATATTAAAATTATTATAATTATATACTCGTACATTTATTATTAAACAGATCAGATCTAACTCAGAGATAGTACATATATATTTGTGCCTTTGCATAGGCAAAGTTCTATATGCTAATTTAATACATAAATACTGTAATGAACTTCAATCATTACAGCTAATAGTGGCAAAAATTTGTTAACCAATGCTTTCAAGTTTCTAATATAATCTTGTTGTCAATTTAGATTTTTTTCTAATAATGAGAGAACTGATAAGAAGGGATTTATCGTTAATCCTATAAGCAAATTTCTCCAATAAATGTTAAATGAGGTATATGTTTATTAGAACGAATGCTATTAATGGTACTTCTGATCTTACGCAGAAATAATCCAATCCTGCTCGAGCAAAAACGTATTCACTTTACGAATTTATGAGCCAGTACTTTGTTCTAAAACTAGAAAATCTTTGTTTTAAGTTTCTTTATGCTTTCACCCAATGGCTTAATATCGACTGTAACACTTTAGATATATGTTTTCCTTATTAGCGTCTTTATACTTATGGTATATTACGTAAAAGCTTGTTGTAATTTGATTTAGGAAATACAGTGATAGCAAGCAGCTGTGACTGTCAGCAGCTATAGCATAATACGTTATAATTTTAGATAGTACGGTATATTTCCGGACCTGCAGCTTTAAACTTGTGTTTCTAGTTAGCTAGATATTAAAAATGTTATTTATGTCTCTATTTTCGGAGCAAATAAAACGAAGTATCCTATCAGAGCGCTTAAGTTCTAGTTGAAGGAAATTGCATGCAACATTTATGTCTTATTTCATACATTAAATATTATGTTGTATAATACATTGTAAACTTTATAGAATACTATCTATAAATTTAGAAAAGTCTTATTTTTAAAATGGCTAACAGTACCTATATCTAGCCAATATGCTTTATAGGATTGAAAGTGGCCTAGCTCAATTACACTTCGCTCTACTGCTTGAGCAACTGCTACAGTTTTACCAATTCCTGGGGAACCATAGATTAAAACTTGACCGCCATTCGTGCCAATTTCCTTTAATTGATCACAAATTTTAGTTATCCATTTTTCTCGACGAATATAGTGACTGTCCGGTACGATCGGAAAATTCTTTAGCAAATCTAAAGTTAAAAGTAGGTCATGATTAAGGTTTTAAGTACGATTTAATGAGTAATACTTTGAAGGTATCTCTATATAGTAAGTTTTGATATCCGGCTAATGGATTTATCTGGATTTTATTGATGAAGATAATTGAAATTTTTATAAATTGTCGACGTACTACAATACGTGATGCAACCGAGTAAATAGGTAAACCGTATTGTTTTAATTTGCTGGTAACTCTCTTTTGTGACATGCGAGTACTATTTTAATGAATCCTGTTGTAATTATGGTTGCTACAGCTTAGATATTATTGAAAATGTGTGGGCTGTGCTTCATGCTGTATATCGCAAAAAGTATTCCATATCATATATTTTTCGATAATTTAGATCCTAATTAGAGTAATTTGTTATCCCATGAATAAAGACGTGTGTTACAGTTCTGTTGCAATGTGACCATCGTAAATATGATATGATTATCAGCTAAATTCATTTAATTTTGCTGACTTACTGGTGTGATCTATGATCTATTTCAATTATTGCTGTTATATAAAAGTGAAGATATTTATCACCTTTTAAAAGAGGTTTGCTAATGACTGTGGTATCCTTACTGTCGCTCTCTTGTGATATATTCCGGTTGGGTTGATTAAGACCTGATGCATCTGTGGGATTGCTCTGTATTTGATTTACTAAACCATCTAACTTTTGCTCTATTCTAAGATTAAGCGCTAAAATTTGCTTTCGTTCAGTTCCTGCTTTTTCTAGATTTTCTATCATCTTTTTAGTATGAATGTTAAAAGCCTTTGAAATCTCTTCAATTGAGTTAGTTAAAATGAATTTTTCATTTGTAATCAAATCCTGATACTTTGCAATCTTCTCTAGTATCTCTTTCATCTCTTTCATTTCTTTCCCAAACGCTTCTTTCAGGTAGATTTTGAACGTATCCATTTTATCATTGATTAAATTTGAAATATCCTCTGTTAATAATGTGGTAATTATATTGATTTGATCATCATTGACCGTAGCAGTGATTTCAAATCGATCTTTCTGTGTGGCGACATTTAGAACCTGTTCAGCATAATGAATAAAGGATTCCATATCTAGATTTCCGCTTAATTTGCTTTTATACTGATATAATGATTGATCATTGATATTAATTTGATGCGTAATATCGTTGATGCCGTTCACTATGTCTTTATGGTTGCCAATGCTGAAAAAGGACAACTGTCGGAAGCCATATAGAGCAATTTTTCCACCGTGGCTTAGATCATAGCACTTAAAAGAATTATTCACCTTTACTCTAATTCCAGTATTGATAATTAAATCTGGTGAATTGATTTTTTTCAGCTTTCCATTTTCTTGTAAGACTATTTCTAATTCACTTCCCTTCTTTATTTTGAACCTAAAAATAGGATTATGGTATGAAAGTACTTGCTGTAGCATTTTAAAACGATTTTGCCATGAAACATGGCTAAAAGAATGAATAGCATCAATGTGTTAATTAATTATCGTAGTGGACACTTAGCATATTTCCTGCAGTATAAATATTAGTCATTCAATAATTGGCAGCTACAGCATGAGTACAGTAGTACTAGCAAGCAGAATAGTCTGCTATGTTTAATAAGTAATAGTATGATGGCTGATACGATAAATGGTGTACTTGCTTTCTTCGTATCATATGCATTTAAAGATGTAGCTGACAGTTATATAGATTTATACTACTGTATAATTTACTCATGTGATTTTGGAATCACATGGAATAGCTATCGTAGAAGCTAGACTTATTAATTCACCCGACTGATCTTACTTAGCCACATTTAATTATTATCTTAATGGTAAGAAAATGGAATTTTCTTCATCAGGCGTGCTATAATTAAATCATACTTTTCGGGTTGAACAAGTGGTGACCTAATTTCTTCACTTTAGACAATTGCTAATTTTAATAACTGCAATTTAAACGAGTATTTGTCAACCAAAGAGCTTTTAGAATCCATTTACGGCGCGTAGGTATACACTAAGAAATACGTAAGAAATTCCTTTCGAAAGTAGTTTTACATAACTAATGTCTATCATTAACCTATGTAAATTGTGAATTTTATTAATTAAGGAACTCATTATATGCATAGGATCTAAGTAAAATTAGAGTTAAGATTACGCATGATTTTAGTTGAAAAAGTCTCTAGGCTAAGTGAAGTACAGTTAGCTAGCTCATCAGTTAGTGGAATGATAGTGAAGTTATAAAATATCATCATCAATCCATTTATATTGCCTTTATCTGCATCTCATATTAGTTATTATTCTAAAAATTTAATCCAAGTAGGTGTAAGTTATAATTGCTTATAATTTTGGTAAAAAACATTAAGATAAAATGGAATGCGATGAGCTGGCTCATACTAGTAGAATAATGATAAAGTATTGAACTATTTTACTATTGGGTTTAAACAGTGATTTCGCTAAAAAAGGTATCTTTATTTTAATGAACAAATTTTATAACCCTTTGGTTCACAATCCATCAACTCAGTTTTGAGTTATTAATATACAGTCAATTCTGTAGATAACATAGTACTATTAGTACTAGTACACACCGTCTCATCATACTAGCCATCATCTACAATTACTGTATTAAATAGATATGTCTAATCTAGCTTACAGAGTGCTGACTTTAAATTTATGTAGAAATTTTACTACGCATTACTTTTATTATTAGCTGAAATCACTATGGGCAACTAAAAACCATCTTCTCTACTTATCAATTAAAGTTGCTATAGAACAATATGAGATTTACAAATAAAATTATTCTATAAAATCTCAACTAACCACTTTTTTTTGGCAAAATTAGGATTAAAAAGACATGGGATAACAAATTTCGCAATATCAGTCGGCTTTTCCGGTGGGCGATCTTCCTCATTTAAAATGTACCTGATGATCACCTTGACCATATCATTTGCAAATTTTTTAACGTAGTAATTATCGCTATAACCAGAAATAATAGATATTTGCTGCTCATAGATTCTGACAAGATCGCAAGCCATTATGGATATAGCTAATTTAATGCTATCTTTGTTGGGAGTTAGACGGTCAATAATTTTTTTGATGAATTTACGATCGCGCCTTTCGGTAATTTCGTCGATTAGTCTTTGTATTATTTCGTTTCCCTTTGCTATATTATACAGTCCATCATGCGAGACTGCTAATAGAAAGGATTTAATACCATCCAGAAATTGTGATGTAGAATCTGCAATTATCCCTGACTTTAATTCAATTTGAAGTTCAAGCATATTAGACATCTCTTGCAACACTGAGATAAAATTTTTAATGAAGGTGATTAAAAATTGTTTAATCTTTGATCCATTCTTGAATTGACTGTCATCAAAATCTTCTGGCCATTTGCCAGCCTCTTGTTGATTTGCCATGGTAATATAGGAAAGGCTTAAAATTCTTATAATTGAATGAAAAATTTAGATAAATTTTAAATTGCAAGGTCGTTTTTACTGGGAACGGTTCCGGATGACTTGTGACGGCTTCTTGTTTGCTTTTTAAGTTTGCATCGCTAACAATTACAGTATTCTGTTTGTTACTTTGTGTAATGTAGGGTTCGAATAGTCTGCAAATGTGGACTTAGTAGCCATTCACAGAATTATATTAGGGATTTATTGAAAAGATGGATACTTTATTGTAGATAGTAACTGTGTAAAATGTAGTGCGTTAGTTGCTAGATCAGCATGTAAGCTACCGAATTACAGCGCGCGTTGATACTAACATGGACAGGTAAAACTAACAAATTGGAGACAAAAATCATCAGTATTTATAACTTTTGATATGCAACGCATGCGGAGAACAGGATTGTAGTATTAGATACCACATATTCCATGATAGATTATGTAATTGCAATAGATTGGAAATTGCGAAAATTGTGTGTACTATAAATAACTGAGAATAACAGTGTTTGAGTATAGTTGAAACAGACTCAGTACAGATTTCTATACTAAGCCAATAAAAAAATGCCTATATTTAAGAATACATTAAGAAGCTACGGAGCGATCTAAATACCCAACCTGATATTGTGGTCAATTTCATATTATGTTAAGGTAGATCACAAAGAAATCGTTATATTGAGTTATTTACAAAGGGCAGTATTTTTTTGACCAGTTACGCTGACTAGAAGTTTGATAGTAGAAAGGGCTAAGAAGTATTTCTCACTGTTTTTAAGTGAAATCAGTTTTCTTCGAGTAAGGAAGGAAGAGATTTTAGATTCTTTGTAAAATAAAGCTTTTGAACAAGTACTAGTTCTTTAAAAGAATGGAAATAGAGGACGAGAAATCTGGTACGTAGTACAAATTTTTAATGTAGCTAGTGGTATACAATGATGAAAAAAACTATTGTAAAAAAGTAATGTTGGAACGGATAAACTATTTACAAGAGCTAATCAGTTAGAATTGTAACCATTGTATATCTTTATTTAAATTCTTGTTTACAGTTTCGAAAGAAATCCCCTCATTAAATTGATAATCTAAATTATTTGGCAAGCTGATACAAATAAAAAATAGTACATTACCCATTCAAAAAATGCTAAAAATGTAATCTATGCCTATGGAAATTAAATATCACCCCATTTTTAAAGGTTTATCAAAGTTAGATTAGAGTTTATGATTATGATTTATAATATTATATGATACATTATGCTAGGTGTTAATCTAGAGTATTGATGTTTATTAGTCTTTATTGAAGGCAATAGGTTAGCTTATAAAATTGTGATCTACAGATATGTTATGAATGGTACTTAATTTGTAGGCTTGATTTGTTTTTCTGGTTCCATTTCTATATTTGAAATTTAATGTGTTCTCCTTCAAGGATCAGATATCATGCGGTATTGGATGACATCAAGGCCCATAAAGAAGTTATTAATGTGAAAAGATATAGTGATATTTTGAATGCTGGAATAGCTTTCCACAGTTTAATTCAGTGATTGCTAACTACTAGATAATCCTATTACTGATATCGTACGTGAAGAAACAAAAATTTCTATAAGTTTACTTAACCCTCAGGAGTTCATTTCAGAAATCATTGACTTGCCCCAAATTGATACTGATTGGTTAATTGAATTAAAAGACTAAATAAACTGCTACTTTTGTTTGTTATTGTAATAATGTAACTATATTTATTCAAAATCAAATCAGTGCAATAATTTTTTCGTGAACAAGTAAATAAATTTTTAAAGAAATACTATGAAACTTTAGCTTTAGTTAGTTTTTGTATTTGCAGCCCTCAATGAATACATGTAGGTATATATATATATATATATATATATATATAACCTGACGAAGGTACTCTTGTAAGACTCGGGGATGAAGCAATACTTGTGGAATCTTTATAAGTTACGTTTAATAATTTCTATTGAAATAGATTTAGAATTACTCTCAGCAATTTAAGAAGTTATATATCACTAATGTACTCCACTACAGATATCTCAAGAACTTTACTATTCAGAACTTTAAGAGTATCTCTAGAAACTAGAATGAATAAAACCTCTCAATCACTCAATTCTTGCATGACTGATTGCACGATGTGCAATATTATAAGTATGTAGTCTTTCGGATACTGATTAGTTACAGATTTGTCAGATCACCTAACTAGATATAGTTCTCGTATGATAACAATCACCAATACAGTTATGCTATCTTATGTTGTACCGGAGGATGATATTCGTGCGTATTCATAATAATACTAAGTTAGAGGATATAGCACATGCTGTAAATAATAGTAAATTACGATACTAATTTAAATGATTTTTATATTGAGATAGATTATTAATAACCTTACTTACTGTTGGATAAAGAAATTAATTTAGTGCTTAAATATTGGAGAGAAACCATTCAATTCCTTTATTCAGGCAAGTAATATTCTTATTTGCTACAAACTGCACAATGCTTTACTTTAAAAACGATTCCTTTAAGATTCAATCTATTTAAATCAACTTGAAGTAAGTGCAGATGCGACAGATTCGTAAATCTTATACTCTTTCGGTTCTCACTATTTCTAGTCTATAACAGCAAGTCTTGCCATATAATTTTTATTTCCTTTGAAATTTTCCAGTTACAATAACTTGCTAATCGAATTTAATTCTCTGCTAGTGAAAGTATTTCATCACTTTGCTTAAATTTCATGTCTTCATCTAAATTCCCTAGAGCTAAATACTAAGATTTTATTCTAGATATGCACAAATTTGTCAAATTTTAGGCATATGACGCTTGGCGTAAGACTTTGCTCAATTCTTTTAGATCCTGAAATTGATATATTCTATTTTCTAAATCGATTTCATTAATATTAGCTTATTTATTGAATCTCTATAAAATGTAGGACAAACTTTTAAGTAAAGTTATTCTATTATGTACTTGAATAGAATTTTTTTATGTGTGATACTTAAAAGTGAAGATTTATCTATTCTTTTATCTATCTGTACTATTTTAAGTAATGCCTGCTATTGGAATAGTCGAAAAGTATTTCTAAGAATGAAATCGTTGAATAATAAAAAATAAAATGAATTTATTTAATGTTAATGACATCGTTATCCTATACTATAAGACAGGTTGATTGGTAAGGAATTTATTGCATTTTTCTTTTCCTTACTGTGCTGTAAGCTGTGAAATAATTGATAGCTTGGTTGTTATATGAACTACACCGAATATAACGTGGCTAGCATAGTATTGGACTAAATTTCGGGAATTGCCAAAGATAGCTATTTTTATAATTATATTGAATAGCCCCTGTCGTAGTCTGTCTACGTAAGACCACTATTATAAGATCGACTAAATTACATGGTTGATTGCTACTATGATATTTAAAGTAATGAGTAAGATAATCGCAGCATTGCAGATCAATAGAAGGTAAATAGTAGAACAATTATGTAATTAGTTACATAAAATCGCGCAGATCATAATACTGTATACTTGGTCTTGTTGGATATTCAAATGGAATACTGACTAATACGAGTACAAGTATCGTAGCTGACTAACTTTAAACTCTGTCGACTTGCATAATCAGTGATTGCAAAATATTCTTCCATAAAATGGTACGACAAATACTGTTTCAATTTCTAAATATGAGCTTACATCATACATTATGCATATGAATATTCCTATAAACTGTGTATTATATGCCGTTGACATGAAGATAGAATCGCTCATTAAGACGTCCTGAGGCCGTTATCACGCTAGGAATTTAATATGCTCTGGCAATTAGTATGCAGTACTGTTTCAACCATTTATTATAGATATTCCATCAAGATCTACGTCTATGCTTTCAGGCGAGATAATATTCAAATGGTATTCAGATTTGCTGTAGCTGCAGGCATATGCTGCATTGATATTTACTTCTGAGACTTGGATACCAATTCAGCTGCTTTATCTAATCCAACTTTAGACAAAGCTTCAACGAGAACTCTTTTTGTTGCTTCGGTTTGTTTTTCGTTGCACCAAATTTTAATTATATTTTTTAGTCTATCTCCTATTGTTAGATTACTGCTCAAGATTGTTTTGACTTTAAAATGCTTTAGGCCGAGACATTCGTAAAACACTTTTAAATTGACAGCTTTGATGTCATTCAAGATTTGAGTTTTGGAAATTAAATCTAAGATTCGTTGGGCACCTTAGACAAAAAAAGAAAGACAATCGGTTACAAGAGGAATAAATCAAATAACGTTCGAATTTCAGTAATAGCCATCCTTTATATTGTGTAAAGATAGAAATAAAGTAAATTTTTTAATAAAGTAGAAAAGAAACGACTGAAAGTTACTACGTTCAAAAAGTGATTTAAACCGTTAGATTTCATAAAGAACCGGACTAACTATTGCCTAGTATTATTTTACAAGGTTAACGTAAACTTGCAATCAACCAACTTAACGTCTCTTGGTAGAAGAGACAGCTAGAGAGTAATCTAAGTCCAGAAAAGTAGAAGAGATTCATAACTACTATGATTTATAGACAGCTTGGTCAGTAAACTGTTTGTTCGTTGATTTGATTTAGCGATAGAAATCGTAGAAATTTAGAGGTAGTATCGCTTGTTTTACTGTTCTGCTATTATAGGCTAGCTTGCATGAACATTTTAAATATTGTACTAAAAGTAGATTTTTATCTTAAGTTTTTGCAGGTCTAACTTTATTGTAATTTAATAAATTCATATAGAATAAGATAAAGTCTGCCTCATTACAATGACAGATAAGGAGATATGATTTTTAACTTGGAGATCCATGAATAGAAGACATCTGCTTACTGTTTGTAATATGTCATTGCTACGAAACTTATAACATTGGTAGCGAGATGAAAATATAGCTATTCTATCGTAAAAAATTACGTATGAGAAACATATATGAAGGTGAGATGCAACTGCTGCAATGATTTTATTTTAAATTAACAATTGAGCCACTAAGTATTTCGACATTCGTCTTATTTAAAGGTATAATTCTGTAAGCCGCTTATAAAAGATGTAATCTTTTGCCTAAAAGTGCGGGTTAATGAAGATTTGAAACACCTGTAACATAAGTATTAGAATGAAAGCTGCTTGTCAAGACATTTAAAAGTTGTACACTTCGCGATGATAAATGAAAATTTTTATAAATTGTCGATGTACTATAATGCGATGTATTAATGCAAACGAGCAAGTAGGCATACTGTATAGTTCTAAAATTATTGTAATAACTCTTCTGATAGGAGAAAACTATTTTAATGAATTCTCGAATAGAATTGTTCGTTATCATCATGTAATACCCACTTCTACTTGGTTACATCATCAGTTACGGTCTACTAAATTACTTCGTTTTAATGTAAACCTTCGCACATTAATATTTCGTTTTTTAATTTAATTCTTAATATTAGGGTAAACTATTTTCACGTAGAATGAAGGTATGCGTTCTAGTTCTGTTGCAGAGTAGCCATCGTATATGCAAATATGCTATCGCTGTCATTTAAATTCCTTTAATTTGCTGACTCACTAAAACGATCTAAGATGTATTATAATCATTGCTGCTGTTGTGCAACAAACTTTGGACTGTAATTCTCCTCAGCTGAATATTGTATAAAGTGCTGGACTAATTCTCAATCGAGATTATTTAGTGAATAATACATAAAAGTAAAGATTGCCCACCTTCACCTTCTTCAAGAGTTCTGTCCATGACTACGCCATCCAGACAGTCGCCATCTTGTGATATATTCTCCTTGGGTTGACTAGGTATAAGTGTAGCTATGCCATTTCCTCGCTTTTGATTTAAATTATCTAGCTCTTGTTGCATTCTATTTTGATTTTCAAAAATTTCATTTAGCATTTTTATTATTGTTTCTTGATTTTGATTCATATGCTCTAAAATCTGCTTGTTTGAGTAAGTTAACACGAATTCTTCATTAGTAATCAGATCTAGACATTTGGTAATTTTCTCTACCATCTCGTTCGTAAACACTTCTTTCAAAGAAATCTTCAACTTATTCAGTAGATCACTGATCAAATTGAAAACATTCTCTGTTATCAATGCTGTGATTGCATTAATTTGATCGTCATCGATCGTAACAGAGATTTTATATTCATCCTGTTTGACTACATCTAAAACTTGTTCAGCATATTGGATAAAGAATTGCATGTCTAGATTCCTGCTTAATTTGCTTTGATACTGGTACAGTGGTTGAGAACTGCTCTTTATTTGCTTTGTAATATCGTTGAGGCACCGAATAGCATCTTGTTTTTCGATATCTTGCTGTCTGAAGATGGATAATTGTCGGAAGCCATACTGAGCATTTTTCCCTTGACGAGGTAAGTCGTAATACTTGTACGAATTATCCTCTTCTATTGTAATTCCAGAACTTTCGACTAAGTCGAATGAATAAACTTTTCAAGGTTTTCGTTTCCTTGCCAGTCAATTTTTAATTGACTTCCTTTTTTTATACTATAGCTGCAAATAGGATTATAATTTGAAAGACTAGTTAGCGTAACGTTCACAAATTGGTACATTTCAACGAGAGTGAAAGAATTTATTACACAAACTGAAAATTAGTTATTGTAGGATAAAGTTAGTTCATAATTCATGTCTTCCGGTACGCATTCTTCAATATAGACGTATATCATATAATTGGTGAACAAATTCTATTTAATGCTAATCTTGGATTCCTAATATCAATCAGCGCTTATAGAAATTGCGCTCTTCTGTAAGTAATCTTATTTATAAAGCTATCATTCAAGACATTGGATCTAAGTAGATTAAACTTGTAATTAATCATTTATAATTTTAGTTAAAAAATTTCTTTGAGATCAAGTTAAGGGCAATTATCTATCTCATAGTTTAGTGGTTTAATGCTTGAGCTACAAGATATTGAATTACCGCCAAGGTTGTGGTATGAGAAGATAATATAAATTAGGTATTCGTTACCCTTGTTGATCCAGTAATGCTGCCCCTCAACTTAGTAATAGGTAGAACTGCCTTTCTAACGGCTGTTTCTGTAGTGATGTAACTGATCTCACTCTACCTTTTATCCAACAGACAACTTTTTGTTCAACTTGTATAATCTACCTAATTATTTTAGCTCAGTTCATACTTGTATGACTTAATTCATTAACTAGTCTTTATGCTTTGAGTCTACTATCGTGCAATTTGATAATAAGTAGAGCTATTCTTCCAATTATTGTTTTTAACTGTTGCAATCGTCGTTTATTAGGGAAGTAGCTGATTGTGGTAATTGATAATGGTAGAATTTAGAGAGTGACATGTTGTGCGAGAATGTTAATGTCTGGGGGTGATTAACAAGAGGCTCCTATAAATTTGTATTTACTTTGGAATTAAGATACTGTACCTGCCGCATCAGGATAAATATTTACGACGCAGCAATAAATATTGTAGCTATGTAAGTAAGTTGGCTAAAGGGAGCTTGCTGTAAAAGAATTTAGGGAATAGATTACAGTTGTCTTATCAATATAACGAAGGATAGCAGCTGTTAAGAAGTTGTAACTTGATCCATTTAACCTAGAAAGATAAAGTTCTACTAAATAAAATATCAATAGGCCATGTAGCTCATTACGAGATTACGATTTGATTGGTCTAGTTGAGTAGATTTACGTTTCTTTACATAGCCTTTTCTAGTTTCGAGTCTGCTATCGTCAGATATGTTCATTAAGTTAAAAGCTGGATTCCGATATAAGACCTGACACTATTGAAACACTAGCAGAATATTGTAAAGAGTAACTTGCCTGATTATCTACGATAGCGATTATAATATAGAAACATGAGATTTGTAAAGAAAATCTTAAAGTCGATCTGAACTAACCAATTTTTCTTGACAATTTTTGGATTCATAATGCATGGGCTAATAAATTTTGCCATTTTGTCTGCTTCTTGCGGTAGATTATCTGGTTGATCCAAAATATACACGATGATAGCAGCGATCATATCCTTAGCAAATTTCTTAATGTAGTAAAAATCGCTTGAGTTAGAAATAAAGGATAGTTGTTGCTCGTAGATCCTGACGAGATCGCAAGCTATCATAGATATGCCTAATGCGGAGCGGTCATTGTTGGGAGATATACCATTAATAATTTTCTTAATTGTCTTGCGATCATACCTTTTCTTTATTATTAAAATCAAATTTTCTATATTTGAAGTTAGTTTTCCTAAATCAACCAGCGGAGTTTTAATAGGCAACGAACGTATAAAGGTTAGGAAGTCAATGAAAATTTGTGCAGCGTTGTTTCTAATTATTTCTGGCTTGTACTTAGTTTCTCTATCCAGTACTTGAGATAAATCATTCAAGTTGTTGTTAAACTCTTGAATAAAAGTGGTTATAAACTTTTTAATTTTTCCTTCAATCCTGATTTGACTATCCTGGAAATCTTCTGGCCATTCTCTTTTCTTTCGATGATTAGCCATGCTAGAGAGGCTTAACTACAGTACATATAAATAAGACTTCGTTTACATGTCTCAAGCATTTAAATTACTCGAGTACCCGGGTGCAATCCATATCCCGTCCAATCTACTATACCAATAATATAATGCAATGTATTGCAATCCCACCCACCCACTTTATTTCAATGAGCAGCGCGGGGATATTTATACTAACAGTTGGATGACTGTGATTATGGGTTCATTTCAATAGGTCAGTATAAGATTCTTACAGTACTTTTTACATCAAGATTTCTTCATGTAAAACGAATAGCTCTAAGATAGCCATTTCTGCAGAGTACTGATTTTTAAAATAGTATTTGCTATATTGCTGAGGGTGGCTACTGGGCCTTTCAATTTTGATTTGATATAATAATGGGATGAAAATTGAATCAACATAGAATCTTTATAGAGTTTTCTACATAGCCATTTTGATTGTTACATTTTCTTATAACGGTTGCTATCGACAGAGCAAGCTTTACCTGCTCACGTAAGCGATCCTTAGACACATTGTAATGATTGGTATAGAATTGACCACAGTACTTAGGACATTGTACTGCACTGTAGATATCTTACAGTACTGTACATGCTAATCTTAACTTGGTACGGTACTGTACTGTATGTCCATCACCGTACATTAGTTATCATCGTGTGCTTTGGACCATTGACCTAACCCTAATCTGTAATCTTAATATAGCATTTCATCCGTCAATGCATTATTAAAAAGTAGTATTCTACAAGCATAGCTGTGAATTTAGTAGTGCCTGGCTATTACCGGGATAGATATATAATGTCGAATGGTAACACTATCTGTTAATTATTAACAAATGGGTACATTATCGTAAACCGTTAGCAAAGCGACGTGTAAGGACCATTAACCTAACCCTAATCTTAATATAGCATTTCATCCGTCAATACATGATTAAAAAGTAGTATTCTACTAGCATAGCTGAGAATTTAGTAGTGCCTAGCTATTACCGGGATATATATATATAATGTCGAATGGTAACACTATCAGTTAATTATTAACAAATGGGTACATTATCGTAAACCTTCAGCAAAGCGACGTGAGTTTGTACTAGTTTAATCTAAAATGATTAAAGCCTCAACGCCATCAAGAACAAAAGAAGCATTAGCTTATCGTATTCTATTCAATACAGTACGTTGTTCTTTGTGACGTCACATGATGGTGACCATTCAGACTCCTTGTACAGAATAGTCGATTTATATCAGAGAAAAGATAATCTAAAATGGGCTGATTTATCCTAATACTTGATTGGTTAAAAGTTATAACTGGCCCAATCACGTTATTTATAATAAATTATTCAGTTCTGCATCTTTACTGACATCATTCTAGATTAAAGCATCTTTACCCATAGCAATTTGTATATTGCATTATCTTTAGCAGTATTATTAATTAACAAGGTGCTAGATATCTCAGTCACGAGACTGGTAACTGTATCTCTGTTGGATCGAGATTCGATTAAATCATTTTAAATACTATTTTGTTTTTCATATGCAAGTGTTAAGCTTCATCTTAGAGCGTAGTAGTCAACAAAGTTGAAATTAGTTTTGGATCAATATTACTATTAATCATGACGAAGCGTCGAAGTAAGGGAGAAACTCAATTAGTCAGTCATCATGATAAAGCAAGCCCAATCACTGAAACTGCTACTATTTGTAAAACCGTCATGAGGAAAGACGATGCTATAGCACTACATCCTTTTTCTCAAGTGCCTGAATTTCTCCAAATCAATCCTTATATTATCGATGGTTATCGTGTTCATCTATCCTATCAATCCTGTCTCAAAAGCTTATTCGTTTTATCCAATGAAACGATCAATATTTGGACCCACTTACTAGGTTTTATTATTTTTGCCTACTTGCTAGTTTATGACAACATGTATATTGTTCCATGGACTTTCCAGCATCTTATGGATAGAATTGTGGTTTCTTCAACCTCTCTATTTTACATGTCCACTTTATTGTTGAGTACATTATTCCATCTCTTTCATTGTCATTCTGAAGAAAGCTATTGCAAATGGTTAAAAATTGATGTTCGCGGCATCGGGATAGGAATTATTGGTGGATTTTTGTCTGGCATTTACGGAGCCTACTATTGTCATCAAGCATTATTGCTAACCTATAGCATTGCTTCGGTAGGAATTATTGCTACATCAGCATTTGTATTATCCCGAGCAAAGGATGAAGTAATCAATGTAAGAGTTGGTAAAATGAAACTCACTGTTCATCGAATCTACACTTATATGTTAGTCGTGGCCTTTGCTTTTATTCCTATTGGTCATTTCATATACATAAATGGTGGATTTGCCGTAGCTTTTGTTCGTAGATTTGCATTCGGTGCTGGTATAATGCTTGGTTGGGGTTTACTTGGCTGTCTCTTTCTAATTTTTAAATTTCCAGAATGTCTATTCCCTGGGAAATTCGATTATATAGCTTCCAGTCATCAATTTTGGCATGTATGTGTATTCTTTCTTTTTTATTCATGGCATCATTCTTGCATTGACGCAGTTCATTTTCGAATACTGAACCAGTGCAGTACTTAATAGCTTGAAAATTAGCTTTCCGAATTTTGTAACTATTCAAGTGAGGATTGTCCAATTATTTGTACCCAATCCATTGATGATTTCATTATGTAAATCAGTTCCTTTAGATTGAAGATCATTTTGCTGCTGGATAGCATTTTAGATTCAATTTTATAATTCCTTTTAGAAATGTTGTTGCTTACTATGAAATAGTTTTAAGGAATTTTTCATACGGTTAATAGCTATATTAGTGATTGTTTCAGCTGATCCTGATAAATTGCTCGCACTTAAAGGCTATATTGAATGGTTTAATGACCGTTTTATTCGCGTATATGCTTAATAGCTGAATTTATTAAAATAACTGCTGGTAGTGCTGTAATAGCATTTTTACAACTACGGAATGTTGTACAATTATTACTGAAAATTTGAAGAACCATTCTCCAACAATTCAGTTTAGTTAATGCTAAGGGGGAAATATTACACAGAATTTCTTGATTTGTTTAGGATTGCTAACTAGTAACGATGCTTTAACTCTGATCATTCTGCCAGGAAATCTAGTAATTTTTGTTCGATGGTTCCTAATGTTACATATTGTACGCTATACAGGCTTCTATTTTCCTTAATTTCCTTAGTCAACACTCTTTAAATCGCGAGTTTAGAGTTTTAAAATTTCTAAATTTCGATCATTCAAACGAGAATTGTATACTCTCGTGGTAAAAATCTGCTCTATCTTGAATGTATTTCTTGTATTTTTTTAGTTTTTAGGGCTTATTTATTAGTATTATCTACTGCTATTTAACAAGATTATAGTTTACATTATGTGCTGACATAGTTGTGGAGCTTTTTGAGTTTTGTACATTTTTTCTGTAGCAAATGGTGTTAGTGAATTGTTAAATTGTGGTAGCTGTCTAGGTCACGGTCAAATTCTTAATTGAAGCTGTCCTCATCTGATCGCTGCTATTTACATAGTGAAATAAAAAGATAGACATGTGATATTAATTCTGAATATCGACTGGCTAAGATTACTAATTAGTGTTCTTGAGAATCAGTATAGCCCTTAAGATACTAAAAATTTATCCCAGGATGATTAGCATGATTACTTAAAGATTATACGTAGGTGGAGATCTGCCTAAGATTACGAAATAGCTCTAAGTAACGGAACAAGATACTCAAAGAGTTTTTATCACAGATGAAGAGTCATTAGGATTGATCTAAAGCTGCCCGACGGCCATCTGCAAAAAGAATCTTTTACGGTTTCGCCTCAAATAAAATGTAAGGAAATGACTTACGTCTTAGAGTGACAAAATATATTATCCAATCATCAGGAAAAGACTTTTAAAACACTGTAGATGCTGTCTTTTAAATTGTATAGATTGGAAGAAAAATTTGCAATATAGAGTGGGAATAAAGGCTGAAATCTTTAGTAGTATTATAGAAAATTTTGCCTACAGTAAATCTGTATTATTCCTGATTTAAATTAATATTTCTTTGACTCTAAGTCTCAATGTAAGGGCATTAATATCGCAGTAATGCCATTTGATAGCTTCGATTGGTGAGATCTATCAATAAGGCTAGTTTAGAAGTCTCCCTCAGCATATTAATAAAACCTCTATGCGGCACTGTTTAGGTATAAAAAATGGAAGCAGCTAAAAGACCATTTCTAAGTTAGATTGTAAAACTAGTCCAATGTGTATTTGAAATTCCAATTTAATACCGGATTGTATTTGTTGATTAGATTTTTAATAAAATTTCATAAAGCAGTCTGCAAAAAATACATTTTCGTATTAATTTCAGAGTACCATCTGTTTGCCACCATAGTGTATATTATCGCGTCTGATCTACTAATGGACTTCTGTTTGGGTTACAGAACACCATGCAATAACAATGTTGGATAAACTCGATTTATTTTTTCAAATGCATGTTAGCGACCTAGATCTCTTTGAGATACAATCGATTTTATATGCTGAATTTGCTGCTATATTCTACTCTCCTGCGTTTGTTAGATTCATCTTTGAATTTGCTTTTAATTTTATTTGCATAAGATCTACTGACATAAGGTACCAACAGGTATCGTTTATTCTGGTACATATTACTGCGTAACCAATTAAACTTGCGAAACTATATTTGGTAGGTTATATGAAAGTTGATAATATGAATATTACACTTATAGGTGCTAGACTGTCCAAGAGGTGTGTGAATTTATTTCAATATTGAAGCCTAAACTTTTAATATTATAGAAATTTTATCAAAACAGAAATACATCAAATACCATATACAATATTATCAAGTATGCTATAATTAAATTAGGATACACAGTAAATCCAGAAATAACGGCTGCCCTTTGTATAAGTAAATAATTCATTTAAGTATAGGGAGATATACAAAAGATATAAATATTAATTTAATATGGAAAACTAATGCTTCTGTTTCGGCTAGTTTTAAATTATTTATATATAGTCGACAGTATTTTGAGAGGTGTGGCGTCTATAGTATGCATAAACAAACTCGCTACTGGCTGGGTAAGTCAGTATGCGATACTGGAACCGGATTCCAGGTTTTAAATAGTGATAAACATTCATCTCTCTATATCTTAAGCATTTGAAACTACGATGAGCTCAAAAGTATAAAGGAAATTTAGAGAAGATGACATTTTCTCGGTCAATGACAACCTTTGTATTTCGTCGATCACGAATCCGCTCTCGATTTCGATCTATTTCTGGTGATCAAAAGAAGGAATGTCATGGATCAATTCAGCTGTATAATATTTCTCAGGTTCCGCCATTCCTAAAATTCAATCCTCATATATACAGCGGCTATAGAGTGAATTTATCTTATCAGTCTTGTCTCAAAAGTTTATTCGTACTTTCGAATGAATCAATCAATATTTGGAGTCATTTTCTTGGCTTTTTCATTTTCGTGTACTTACTTGTTTTCGATAATGTCTACGTAGTGCCATGGACATTGCAAAGTATGCCAGATCGTATTGTAATATCTTCTGCATGCCTTTTTTATATGTCCACATTGCTGCTAAGTACCTTATATCATCTATTTCATTGCCACTCCGAGAGAATGAATCAATTGTGGCTAAAGATGGATATTGGGGGCATAGGTATTGGAATTATCGGTGGATTTGTATCGGGGCTATATGTTGCTTACTATTGCCATCGCTACTGGTTACTAATATACGTCATCGTATCAACACTACTAATATCGACTTCTGTTTATAATTTAGCTTGCTCAGATGCTAAAGGGATTCAGTTTCAAATCTCAAACTTAAATTTTCGTATGAATAGGACCGTCGTTTTTGTTATTATTGTCGCATTTTCATTAGTTCCAATATTTCATTTTATCTACTTGCATGACGGCATATCATCCACATTTGTTCGTCAATTTACAATTGGTGCAAGCTATATGCTATTTTATGGCTTAATGGGCTGTTTATTTCTTGTCACTAAATTTCCTGAGCGTTTATTTCCAGGTAAATTCGATTATGTAGCTTCCAGCCATCAGTTTTGGCATCTATTTGTATTCCTGTTATTTTACTCATGGCATCAATCTTGCCTTGATGCTGTTCAATATCGCATAAAGAATCAGTGTGAAATTATCTAACTTTATTTAAGATATTATGCTCGTTAGATTGATAACTATACTAGCAGTGAAATTTAAGATTAAAGCTGTACCCTTACTTACATAGTAAAGTAAATGTGTACCTTTACAATGATTAGAAAAGAAAATTATTTTTTATGTTACTGTTTCTGATACGTATCAGAATTAATGGAATGCCCCTTAGGACAGTATGACTGGACTATTTCATGATATAAAGCGTATACTTGAAATTAGTGCATACTTTGAATTAAATTGATTTCACAGTACCAATATGTCACTTCATCCGTAAAAGGCTTTGAAATCGCCATTTATATTAGATGATAATTATTAGCTCTAAATTTTACCGGATAGCCATTTCTTGGCATCATTCGTTCTGTCATATTGATTATGATATAATTTACGAGATACAGTACGAAAATTTATGGAATAAATTTGTACTCGTATGCTGCTGTAACTTAATAGACTAGCTAAAAGTTCGTATCATTCACATAATCACTTCATACCGTATGGACTAAGTCTTTTCTCCAATATTATTCGACATGATGTTCGACGTCATGCTGATGGACGAAGCTCAGGCGATCGGATGATGAGCATGATTTAAATAAATAAATAGTAATGATGGTTTCATTAGACTATACTAGGTAAAAAAAAAGGAATATTATTCTTAATGGCAGTAATTGTAGTAGAATCTAGTGACTTGATTGGCATTTTTCACTGGATAAGTATGACCGAATATAAGTTTAATATTCATGAGCTCTTTGTACTTTGGCCTTGAAATTAAAATTACGTGTTATCCGATTTGATAGAATGTTTTGAAAAGCTTGCTTAATAAACAGTCGTAGAAGTACAAAAGCTGACTATATTCTATGCTGATTTAGAGCTAGATCGATATTGATATAATACTACTATACAGCAGTTGAGTCTAACGCTTACATATATTAAAGGTTTCATACCGAATTTACCATAATTGGTGTTGATAGAACTGAGGTAATTAGCTATTCTTACCCAAACTATTTAAATGATGAGCATTCATGGATACTAAAAATATACCGGTAATTAAGCTAGCGAAATGATGCTTATTTGCGCAAGATTAGTTTAACACAACGCGATTTTACTTTCAGACTTTAACTTTTGATCAATAATCGGTAATCGCATAACACCAAATAACCTGTTCGTACTCAAACTACTCAATAGCAAGCGTACATGGATACTAAAAATACGCTCAGACTTGCAAAATAATGCTTGTCTGTGGAAGATTAATTAGGATAGAATAAAATTTCCTGAGTATTTTCCATATTTATTGCTCCAGCCTATTGCTATTGGAAGATACTGGATAGTTTCACTGCCTAGCGGAGCTTAAATTATTCTGTTCTGTTAACCAGGAGTTTCTGACGAGACTATAAAAGGCTGGTGCCTGAAGATTCCTTTTTAGTTAGTTAGTCGGTTGGATAGTCAACTAGTTTTCAATTGATATTTAATTGTAAAGACTATAATCTTGGGTGCCAAGATTCCTTCAGTAATAAATGATAGTAAATCTCTGACTATCTCGTCTACATCATCTGTGACGCTATAATTATACCATAGTATTCGGTCGTTGGAACTGAATTATTTGGTGATATAGCTAATCTCGCCTCTTTAAGTTAGTAAGTGGCGTTCTCCGCAAGGATTGGCGTGTGTAGACTACTTTGTCACTAGTGGTGTGTGACATGTTCATGTCACGGTACGCCGTTACTAATTAAGTAACTGTAAATTAATGAATGCTTATGAATAGATAAGATAAGGTTATGTGCTATGTTTTAATGCGCTTGTAGCTGATAATAGGATGGTAGAAATGAGAGAAAAATAGAAGTTGTTAGCAGTTAATTTACTGTAGGTTTATAAGGTGTGTTAATCTCTAAAAATTGAGCTGTATATGGACGAAGGTTAAGCGTCTTAACACCTGATAGCTTGTAGCTATCTAAGTCTGAGAATATCGACATGTATATTTAGTAATGGTATTATACTAATTAATGTAACTTGTAAAGCATGAATTCTCACTCGTTAATATTGGAATTCACTGTAGAAACCTATTTAAGCGCGTGTGTTTGTAGAATAAAGAAAGTAATTGCTCAAGAAACGGCAAGACTCATATCGTGAAGAATAGTGTAATAATTAGTCAGTTGTCTGTGGAGATCAGCCGAGAAATCGAGTTCTCAAATACTTCTCTCATTGAAACTGAAAGTACTGGGAGAAATAGCCCAAGTTTTAAGTAACTACACTAGAGTTCTTTACTTTCCTTTGCCACAAGTGAGGGTTGTGACAGTTCATAATAAATAAAGCGAGGAATTAATAGCATATTAGTTTCACGTTTGCTGCCTCGCTTTGCTCGTGGGGCTTCCATAATCAGCCAGCTATAAATTTGATTCATAGACTATTTCGTATGATGTTTTAGTAAATTGAGTGCAAGTCTAGTTGGCTATGAAGGCTACAGCCTGCTATGTAAATTAGGTTATTATTTTTAGTAGAAGCCATACAAAATATAGATGAAGAATTGATAGCCAATTTTGTTATTATGGTTGCTATGGTAATAACGTTTCGTCATTAGACCATTACTCAAGTCTTAGCCGAATGATTGTGACGTGATATGTAGACCAATGAATATAAAAGTGAATAGCCTGCCTTCAAAACATACTTTCGTATATTATAAGAGTTTACTATACATTTAATTGATGCTACAACCGATTGGCTGGTGTTAAAGCGCCTAAACAAATTATATAACTGCCTCAAACAAATATAGTAGCTGTTAGCTTGTTTGAAAGTCTGCCATCCATAACTTGATTTACGCATCAACATATTTTCTACCTTTTTGAATAAAATCGGCTTTGAAAATCATAGTAGAATTTATTGCTGATTTTATTTATTCTTATGATTTAAAGCATTCATAAAATAAGCGTTCATTCCTCTAAAAGAATTTACCAACGACATTGAAAACCAACCGGTATACTTTGATTTCAAGTAATTATGAATCATAAGATTCTTTTGGAATACACAGTCGATATTTTGGACACATTTAATCCTGGATTGGAAGGAGTTGATGAGCATGCTACTAATTATTTTGATGAACATACGGTAAGTTGCTGATGATAGTAAAAATTCGTTAAATGGGGATAATGGCGATCTGTCTCCTTGGTGTTAAATAGTTTGATGTCGGACTTTCATCAAGAATATGATACAATACATCTATAAAGTGTTATTTCTGCTCTGACTCTATCAATTTGCTACAGGAACTAGCCGAAGTGGACAAGATTTTCGTTATAGAAGTATTTTCTGGTTGTGTCAGGCATAGAAGAATATTAGATGTAGGTTTAATCATTAAAATTGAGAGATTTAAGTATCGAAAACTCCAATTTCACTTGATCATTCTGCTATGAATAAGTTTAAAGCTTATCATAGGACCAAGTAATGCCGATTAAATATCATTTATGTTTTGTATAGGTAACGATTGATCGCTTTTACTTAAAAGAGGGCAAAACATGTCTAAGAGCTTATCAAAACTTGTTCAAAGGTAGTAGCAGAACGTGCAATCATGTGTTTCATTTTATACTATTCTTTATGAGATTAGACTCTACTAAACTTTTCGTATCATTTTCTAATAATTGCTATCTAGCGTTATGTTATATTGCGTGCTTCAGAATGAATGAAATCGGTATAAGCACTTATTCAAAGTTGGTCATGTCACAAGATCCATACAAGATGATGAAAGTAATTCCATTTAATGATTTTCCTTTCAACACTCTTCGTTAAACAGGCTAATCTTGATTTCTTTTTATTTGCTTCAGTTTCTAACTTATTTATTCAACGAAACTTATATCAATACTTGGCTATGTGATGAGGTATTTATTCCGTATGAGTTCAATTTCTAAATAACTACCACTATAAGCAAATATTATGCTAGCCAAAATTTTAAATAGTAATCTAGCCTAAATAGTAGTCGGACGATTACTTGTATTCTTCCTCTAATGCCGCTGATAACCTGTAGTGCTATATCAGCTAGCTAAAATTGAATGAATGTATTTTTCCTATAGTGGAGTAAAACTTACGATCCAGACTATGTTCAGGAAGAACTGGTTGCTCCAATGCTAAAGTAAGACTTGGGATATAAATTAATTGTATGAATTTGCTTACGATTTCTAATGCATGAAATTTAAATTCATCTACAATGGATAAAAACTAAATTGATCTCAACTGTTATTTCATTAGGCGCCTTCCAAAAGTTCGAGAAATTATAAAGAAGTTGAAAAGTAGAATTGAAAAGGTGGAAATCCCTAAGCAAGCTAAGAAGCCTCCTACAGGTTTGGTTATGAACGCTTTTATACTACTAAAATGTGGTAGATAGCGTTATCTGATAAAACTTTAAATTACAGAATCAAAGCCATTTCAGATTACCAAACCAAGGCCAAAAGTGATAATGTCTCCTGAGAAGGTAATTTATCTGCCTTATTTACATTTACACCCTATATTAATGCTATGATAACAAAGAAAAATATGGGACTACTTTTTCTTATTTACGTTTGATAAAATATGCGCTCATTATAGTTGAATTCTTACTTTCAGATTCCAGTTATGCCGAAGCATAAATCAGTGCCTGCCAGTACATATAAACCGCCTTCGGTCCAGAACCAACTGAGTCAGATTAAAACTGAAAATAAGAAGAAATCAGAGGTAATGATCGATTTAAAGTTAGCAATTTAACGCTTTTCTTATCGATCTAATTTACAGTTCGATAAATTTTAATTCACAAATATCTTCTGAATTAGGAAAGTCTTAAGAAAATTAATAAGACAAAGCCAAAGTGTAGTGATACAACTAAATCAACTAAATTCAAGGTAATACTGTGTATAAATTTCTAATTTTGCTTCTTTACTACTTGGTTATGATATACAATAATTGTAACTTAACTCTTACTATTGTTTCTTATATTTACAGAAAAAAATGCAAGAATTGCAACTGCAGGAAGAATCACA